CTAAGGTCGTCTGACGCAAATACGTCATCTTTTTCAGATAATCTGCGTCTTTTTATTACGTTATCTTAATACGTATGAATGTCTAATTGAATAGGCTAGCAAAACTCAATGATGCTGATGATCTGAAATACGTACGGAAAATCAAAGCCTTGTCAGCGTATATGAACTACTCGGCATCTCGCACATAATCGGATTTGCAATATACATTCTTCTTTTCAAGTGTTGAACAAAAAGTGAAGGTTTTTGTTCATGTATTCACAAACATACATCAGCTTCCAGATTACATCACAGCCTTAGTTTAGTTTTCATCGATAATGCTAAATATTATTTTGAAGTGAATGAGGATTTTAATTTTAAGTAGTACTTATTACGGATTTATGTCAGTTGGAGAACTGTTGAAATCCTGGGAGCACTGGGTGGCTGTTTCGTCCTAGCACGGGACTCGTGAGCATAATGATTGACATGTTTGTCGTGAGACCTGCAGGTCCTGAGTTCAATCCCTAGCCGAATCGTGACTGCGTACTGCTGAGGAGTCCCATACTGGCAGGAAACAGCTGTCCAGTGCTCTCAGGTTTTCAGTGGTTCTCCAACTGACGTGTAAGTCTGTGATCATGTTTTGTGGTAGTAGTGAGGTATGTTATGTTCACTGATAACAATTCTCATTTGCTACAGCAATAAAATAAATTCCTAAATATTGGTTAGTGTTGATCATTATACGCTTACTGACTAATTATATGCTTGTCAGGAAGCCTGCTCTGTGAGTTTTATGTCCGAAAACTGGAGATTATATTATTATATAAAACTTGTAGCCTGAGATACGTAAACCATCACTTTATTGGTTATTTGTGCATATCGTTTATTATTTGTATGTTCTGAGTTGTTTTCTATGCTCTCAAATAATTGAGTTACCTAGGTTTTCTTTCGTGTCCCTCCTTCTCGTGGCACACAAATATATCATCCATTGATTTGAACGTATATTACAACGAACAATATTCACTTTATTCCATTTAAGCTGTGTGGTACACGCTTACTTTTGACTTCATGTATTGACGATATTACATCGTATCCGGGTTAAAAAGGTCAATATTGTTGTCTGCTTTAATTTATCAACATGTTTTTATGAAGTACAGACTTGCCTTTCAGATATCTTATCGAAGACATAAAGCTTTTTGATTAATTATAGAGTTCATTTCAGCTTTAGTGTAGAAGTGAGTACTTCTCAGGTTAGCCTGTATTCACTAGGATGTATAACACATGTACATCCTTTGGCACAACATATTATATATAGGTGATTTACATACTTCCATTTATTTACTCAAGCTTATACCAATATTTTATATTTTTCTTCGCTATTCAATGATGTACTTAATCCTTCTAAGTAGATTTTCATCTCTCATTACAACTATACTTAAGAATCACTTGGCAACTCAATACTTCGCTAATCCTTTTTATTATCCTGTTTATCAGGCTTAGGATAATCTGATCATATTGTCCTATTTATTGTTATTATTTTAGTCAATAAGTTTTTTTTAATTTTCACTCATCTATTTTCCTTATTTTCTATATATATTTCGTGTACTTTGTATAGATGGTATTTTTTAATACCTTAGTATCTGGTACAAGAAAGAATTTGCACTGGATCATACAAAATAGGATATGATGATGATGTTAGTAATTACATGCTCGTCATGATGGACAGTCGCTAGCAGTGAGAAATCAAACAATGGTATATATATATATATATATATATATATATATATATATATATAATTTTGCATGTGCTCACTGTTGCTCAACAAAGTAAAAAATGGATCGCTCATTTCCTTAATTCATGAAGTTAGTGACTAACGTACTCAAAGATGAATTTTCTGGGTGCTTTTAGCTGATCGTTTAATTATTAATACTGTTTTGGCCCAATATAAATAAATATCAACTAATGACTGCTAAATAACTGTTTTATGATCCCCGTTTTGAGGAGTGCCTCGAGGCTGTTCTGTATCAACAATGTGTTCAGAACGAACTTAGAGGTTGTGACATGCATGTTACTTGTCGACAGAAAACTCATTTGTCGATGTTTTTGTACAATTGATGTGTGTGATATTACTTTTTGGGGGAGTTTTTTATTGCTGTCATCTGATTTAACTGCGCAGGTCATGAATAAGTTATCTGGACATATATCTACTAAACAACACGCTTGCTGAAAGCATACCGAACCTCATCAGAGCTAATAACAAGCTTTATTTTGATACTATTTGGCTGATGATACCTAGCACCGAAACCTTGGTACGCATTTCATCCTACTTAGCGTTCCTCAGCTAGATGTACCTAAATCTTAATGAGCTATGTTCCCACTGAACTCTAACAGAACTCTAAGATTCAATAACTGAAGTAAAATGAAAACCTGTTAAATAACTAAATGTGAGGTTTTGGGGTATTTATTGGTTTCAAGTTAGTATTCACCAGAGACCTACATCAACTGGAAAACCATTGAAAACCTAGAAACGCTGGATACCAGTTTTTTTTAGTTTGGGACTCAACAGTGCATATTCATGACCACCACCAGGGGTCGAACATGTGACTTTAAGGTTTCCCGGTGAGCACGTTGCCATTGTTTCAAAACCCAATAAATCCGTACAAATCTACAAATTAAATTTCGTCCGACTACTCATTAGTGATTTGCTTCGAGGTGAGATTTTTCGAATTTCTAATGAGAAGTCTTGACCTCTGAGGCAAGCCATGGCAGATGTGTGGACTAAACACTCCGTCATAACATCGGACTGAATTTCGCTCCCTATCGTGAATTTACAGAAGTAAGAAAGTTTAAACCATTGGATTCCGATCCATTGGTTCAATGCTAACGTGTTCGCTGCGAAATCCGAAGACCCTGGGTCTGATCCTGGCGGAGTTATGAGTGCATACTGTTGAGGATTCCCATACTAGGACGAAACAGCTGTGCAGTGTTCCTCTAACTGATGTCAGTTTGTGATGACCTTTTTTCTTTTAGTTTAGTCGATCGGGCTCTGGCCTAGAAAAACCTGATTGTCTGATTCGAGTCCTACCGCGAACCTAAACCTTAATCGTCACTGCCATACATTGAACCTGATTTGCATACCAAGATTTTCTCAGGCAGTTCAGTAAACACACCAGTAAATAACTTGTTAGATTGTTATCTATCCATCTGTCTGTCTGCCTACCCTAGTATTGCATATTTGTACCTTTTTTTCTCCGCTTTTTTGCATTTATTTGTAAATATATGTACTTAAGCATACAAACTAGTGAAAGACAAACATACTTTGTTAACTTGGAGCTATATATCAGCTGCTTATTACGATTGTTTCGTTTTTATGTCAGCGTGTGTATATTTATTGTCATATGTATATCTACTTGTTGTTAGCATTTTCATGTGTCCAAGTTTGTTACATAACAGTTTAGTCTTATTCATCGAATATTAGTTGCATGGTGGAATTATATGTTTGTATGGTAGGCATAAATTATTAGTATTCAATGTATATTTATCATATTATTTCTCTATACGCCTTCCTAAGTGTTTTTATTTCTGGTTACTGTTGATTTATCAGTGGTTGAAATGTTGAATCGGCGTTTGTTTGTATTTTTGTGTGTGTATTGTCTGTTGATGATGTCGTTGTTACCTTGTAGGCCTATTTGTTAGCACACGTTCCTCTATATCTGAATGAGAAAATGAATAGAATTCTAATGAACATGTTTGAATGGATTTGTTTCAATGTTTGTTTTCGCTCTAAGCTGCAGTAAAAAAAAGTTCTGAAATAATAATCTATTGCTCTTTCTTATCATCATTAATTTGTCTACACTTGAAGTGAGGTCTATAGTCTTACTATTGAAATTAAAATCTTAATTATTGTAATACATGATGCCATTTTGTCTAACCATTCCCTATTTTCCTGCTTATTGCGGATTCTGGTAACTTTCACTTCAGGCTGACCTCTTTCTATGTTGCTGTAAACAATAGCAACTTGAAATAGGATGTGATTCTTGACCTGGTTTACTTTAACCACTTCCACTGGCAAATTACTTCGAAAACAATTTGTCAGATTTTATATCATCATCTGTGATGTGTACAAAACTTGACCAAGTAGAGTGTAGGGATTGAACAGCTACGGATATTATACATTACCTTATCTTAGTCTTGTAGATATCACCCATCTCTGAAAAATGCCGTGTATTGAAAAATATGGTTTCTCAAAATGGATGATATTATGCATCAGCGATTCCACTTTCACTCATTACAACCACCAGTTACTGTCATAATGTACTTATCAATCATACCCAATCACGATTACTCATTAGAAAAATAATTAAATCAACTTTTTATTCAATGGTAACAGTTAAAATGATTATACTTCTGCTTGTGTTTGCCAAAATTATCTATCTATTGCTATCCCATCTTGATAACTTCAATGTGAAACTCTATATTGAGAGTGATATGATTTCGGCATTTTTGGTCGTTTGCTAACCGAAGCTTCGTCATCAAATCTGTTACATTCTCATCTATTAGTAGCTAATGCGTATACCTAAACTTTTGTAGATGGCGGGGTTCTCGAACTGATGATCGATTGGTTGAAAGTCGAAAGCTTAAAAAAAGAATCTAATTTCGTTTCAATACTTGATACATTGTATCCTCCGTCGAGAAGTGAGAGATGCATAGGGGACAAGACAATACGAACTAAGCTTCTCCGTTTGCATCTGCTATCTTTCACTTTATAACAAGGACAAGAATAAATTGACAAGTTAGGAGCTTCTGCTGCTGTTGGATCTAAGTTAACTTCAGTCAACAATATGAAGTGATAGAGAAGATTTGTAGCAGAGAATAAACTGAAATTTCTTGAAGTTTATAATAATATCTACAAATTGCCATGTGCCATTATTTCTATCAAACATTAGATACTTACAAACTCCTTTGATATCTATCCTCATGTCTAAATTTATTATGCAGACTAACGTTTCCCGCTTTTTGGTTTTAGGTGTGTTTCTTGGCGATTTAACCTTTATTGATGTTGCCGCTTCATCTGTTGCCACATCATTGAGTCATCGTGAAAATAGTTCATGGGATAGCCAAGGTAAACAAGATCGTATGAACAATATACTTCGTATCATTGCCAACTTTCAACAGTCGAACTATCGTAAGTGAATATTTTTCATTCATTCATATATATATATATATATATATATATATATATATATATATATATATATATATATATAATATATCCTTGCCTCTGCTTTCTTTTCAAGAGTCTGTTTACCGTGCACCGATTACCCATTTAGATTTAAATAAATTTGTAAATTATGTTTCAAATTCTTGACATATTTGTATATTACATTAGACTCTTTTAAAACTAAATTTTTAAGAAATGACTCAATCTGTTAAAAATGCTTATACACTAGGATTTAAGCCATATTCATTGTGTGAGCATTTATGATAGTTCTGAGCTGCATAACTGGTAGGACAGTTTTTGAACTCAAGAATTCATATGCTTAAGCCACTGGACCAATTGAATATTGGCACATACAAACAGAATAGTTTACAACGCGGCATGGATTGATTCGATATGATGAAGCAGAAGGATAGAAGCAGAAAAGTCAATAAAAGTAGGCCGGTAACAAGGTAAATAAATCAATGGTTGAATTGAGAGAAACAAAACAAATGGTGATAAGTTGTTCGAGATTTTCTAATTTATACTTGCGTTATTCCAGTTCATTTAGCACTTTCAACCAGTGATTTAATGCATATCGTGAATCTAAACCAGGTAGCCAACACTCACCAACATGAAATAAACCAACAACCAGTGACTTACAGGATCAGTGTCACGTCTTACTTACTACCCTTAACTTCTCTCCTGCATTGTCTTTCTTCAGTCAAGTTTGGGTTCTTCGGATGATAGGAGCCCATAAATGGAAATCTTTTAAGATATGACTCAAAATAAATCAAGGTAGCGTATGTACTATTAAGATATTCAGTATTTTCTGTAAAATGTGTCTCTTATATTGGGAATTCATATTGTTGCAGGTAGCACCTTACTTCTGAAGTGTTCATCACAGGTTACTTTTCTGCTCTGACTTTGATTACTACTGTTTTTTACAAGTTAATCATCATTTTTATTCTTTTTATTTTTGTTGTTTCCCCGCATCACTCTGTTTTCTTTTAGCTTTTATTCGAAATGAATCTGTAGCCACTTATCTGGAAGCTCAACGATATATTGAAGAACTTCAACGTTTTATCGAGGATGCCAATTATAAGTTATCACTTCAAGTGGAACCACCATCTCCACCTGATCCATGTTGTACAGATCTGCCATACACTATCCCTCCTAATAATCTATTTTTAAGTTCTACTAATAATGTACTAAAACCTGTCCCAGTTTATAATTCTTCAACAACGACGGTAACAGCAACAACAACTATCACTTCTAAGAATGATGCGACGTGTAATGCAAAGGATAATTCTCCCTCATCCAAGGCGTCTGATGGCAGTGGTACTACACGAAAATGTAACAAAAAGACCACGGACACTAGGAAGGCGACGAATTCAATTTCACCATTGTGTGACTTACTAGCACCGCCAGCTATACCACCTCCACCACCTAGTAAACATTCGCACACCAATCAAAGTACCCATTATGAAGTGTTGACTCCGCAAGCAAATTCCAATTCTCAACTTTCTGCACCAAATTCAGTACATCGTCCTCGGAAAAGGCCAACATACCGAAGACTAGGCAGTTGGGCGGGTAAGTTAGTCAAATAGTTTTTTTCATTCTCTTTCCTAACATGTACAAGATATTCAATTTTTGTGATTAATAACTTGTTTATAAACTAATTCGTCTAATCCCTCCATTCATCGCTGCGGAGATTGTTCCTTGTGAAATGTATATAGTCTTTGAGTAACACCTTACTATCTTTAACTACTGAAACAGTCAACAGTACTACATTACCCTCAAATTTCCTACTTTCGGCGTTTCATTTAAAGTCACCGCTTCTTCCCTGAACACTAGTACACATTAAAGTAGAGTTAAAACAGGAAACCGAAAAATTAGTAATATTTCTAAAATGGATAGAAAGGATTCTGGAAAGATATGGAGTATTAGGATGTTCGAAATTTTTTAGGAGGATAAATTCTTAAGGCATTATTATCATTAATTCTCCACAATACTCTCTTCCAGTTATAGGATTATTTTTGGTCCACAAAAACTTTCATGATGGAAGAGAAGACTGAAAATAGGATGTAGTGACGAACTAACGTTCAAAATTTACTACAAGGAATAAGATGTTACAAGACAATTTTTGATAAGTCTTCAAAATACAAAGGATAATAATAATAAGGGGAATTGGACGATACAAAAGGAGATTTAGAAATAATAGAAAAGTGAAGTCAACAGGACTAGGAAATCGTTCATACAAAGTGGAACTTCGGCATAAATGTGTTTACTAAGGTCTCAGTCTCTTTACCTGACTTCAAAGGTATCAACTTCTTCATATAGACGTCTCAGTCTGCTTAACGTATTTAGATGACGCGTTCAGTAATGATACTAACATAATGATGAGTCTTTTGAATACGTTGCATGACAAACTAGAGTATTAAAGAAACGTTTCACACCTTTAAAGTATAGATCGTCATAAGATCTATACTTCATCTGACAACAAAAGCTGAAGTTGTTCAGCACATCTCCCACCTTACTTTCCCAATGCTTTGGCTGTCAAACACGACTATTTATGATGGAGTGAGTACGTGAGAAAGTTGGAGGTTTTCAACCACCATTACCTTTGTAACATTGACCGCATGTTTTAAGACCAACATTTAAGGTATATCAAGACTGAGTATAAATCCCGGGTAGAAGACGTATGTCTGTAGATTAGGTGAACTTCACTTGAACTATCTATGACAGTTAAATACACATAGTCACCTATGTAAATAAAAGAACATGTTGTCTTACTTTTGATATAAGTTAATATTCATCTTTCAAAAGAAAACTTATATAATTTGTGCTAGTCATTTAACCATTTTATGTGTCCGTTAGCGTGAAATATTAACAGTACTGAGTGTAATGAAATATTTGCTTTAGTATATCTTGGACAATCAATGTAAGTTTGGGTATTGATACTCCACAGATAATTATGAAATAATTTCTTCCCCCATTAAAGAATATCACTAGATTCAAATTTACTTTTCTAACTTATTCCCTGATATCTGATGATAAACTATTCTACATGAATTTGTTTTCTTCATCTGAGCATCGATAAACATGTCTATTTGTAACTACTACACTAAATCTTTATCATATCTTATAGTGACAATATCATATTTATTATCTAGCCATTTTAAAGCCTTGGAATATTCCATGTTTTGTCTTTTTGCCTTGTATTATGATGTATTAATGTGTAGTATGATTTCATAGTAATGCAACATCTCATATTGATATTGACTAACTGAATGAATGAACTTCATCTAATATTTTAAAGGATTTTTCCAAGTGCTATCAATTCACTTAAAGTACTGTAACAAAAATTCAAAACACACATTTTCCACTATACAATCCTACTTTTTAACTATAACTTACACCTCATACACATAGATACTAATGTTAAATGGTTCATCTACTTAATGAAGATATAACTATTTGCTTACTAGTCCTTTCAAAGCTTTATTGGTTGGTAAATATACTATTGAATTGAAAAAATTGATGATTTAGCACCTAAATTTAAACAAAAAACATCCTTGTATGTTTCTATAAGTGAACATCTTTTTACATGGTTTATTTCTTTTTACTGATCACTGGAAATTTTGACCTTTCAATGTTTCGTTAGAAATAGACGATAGTGATTTGTTTCTTATTTCATAACTGTGTGGTAGAAGTATAGAATGTTTCCGTTCGTTAGCAACCACCAAATGGCCTTGAACGCACCAATAAATCAGTAGTTAATTCTTTTTAGATTTTAAGAGATAAATGAAAGGAAATTACAGTATATATGAGTTTTCTTGCGATGCTTAACAACTTTTTCAGTTTTTCGACTGTTTTTTTCTGCTTAAAGTAAAAGTAGGTAGGATAAAGACATAAAGACTACCTGAGGTATGATATAGACGTAAATAAACCTGTAAGTGGTCTCTTATCGCCTCTTAATAAACCTCTGTATAGTTATTTAAGAATTTCAGAAAAACATGACACCTAAGACATTGAATATTAGGTAAAAATCTATAGATTTCAGAAAATCAAGTCATGAAGCAGTAAACAAATAGCAGATAGGACTTCTTTTGCAGCTCTGATGCTGGGTACTGTAAACTTAATTGGAATCATATGATAGGATTTAAGAGGTTAAAAAAGGGTTTTGATTAGGATTTAGAGTGTGCAACCTCATCTTAAAACGTACTTTATTGGGAACTTTTGGTTTAAAATTTTGTTCTTTGTGAGAAATGAAGGTATATAAAAGACCTCAGAACTAACAAATAGTGTGAGACAATTATGCGAGGAATAATTCTATTCCATTCGATCAAAATTATCATCACTGAAATTGTGTATTAAGTCTATCTGTAATCAGCGACATATTTTTAATAATTTGAAGATCCACAGAACGACGCATAGTCACCTTTGACTTGATTGGCCAACTCAAGGCCATTTGGTAGTCTTTATGGACGGCAAAACTCTATAGTTCTACAAACCGTTGCAACAAAGGAATAGAGACTGTTAAAGATAGAAAGAGAACTGTGCCATAACTTAAATTCGTGCTAGAAGTCTCTAGAGTCTACTGTTACTTAATGGACCTTACCATCCTTTTATTAGTTCAAATCTCATAATTATCTTCATCGTGGTTATGTAACTCCATTAGCTTAAACACTCGGATTTCAAGCAATGATTCTTCTGTTCCTCTTTGGTTTTAGCAGTCAAGTAGTATCATGTGGTTCATAAGCTTCTAAATAAACCTATCAGGTTGTATTACAACATCACGCTGTTCATTAGAAGCAAACCACACAAGTATTTTTGCAACAAATGATACTTAATGAGTATACATTCCTTTCAATGAATCTGTATAAAGTGAACAAAATCGAAATACAAATAATCCAGTGTGCTGACGAGTTTGGTCAGTAATTGATTATTATTTATTAGTCCCTTGGTTCCCTCGTGGAACATAGGGCTTCACTGGCACGTCTCCAGTGAGCTCTGTTCTCTGAAATCTTTTGAACCTGGCTCCACGACAGCTCACAAGCTCTCATTTCCTCCTCGCACGATCTCCTCCATGTCACCCTCGGACGTCCAACTTGTCGCTTCCCCTGGGGATTCCACTCGAGGGGCTGGCCTGACGCGTGATGCCCCCAATCGGCTTTCTCAGTGTATGCCCAATCCATCTCCACTTCCTTCCAGTGCGTATTCGTTGGGTGATAGGTTGTTGGTTGGTTCGTTCCCAGAGCTCCTTGTTGCTTACTCTTATTATTCTGGCCATCTGATCTTCAGTAACGAGCCAGCGTAGGTGGCAGTTGTTGATGAATGTGTGTAGTTTATTGGAAATGCCTCTCGTGACGCGCCAAGTCTCTGAGCCATACAGAAGCACTGACTTGACTGATGGGTGTTGAAAATCCAGATGTTGTTCCACATGCTGAGTGGAGTGCAGAAGATCTGCACACTGGTTTCAGGCTAATGAATGCCTGTCTTGCTGTGTTTCCGATTCTGACTGGATTTGACATCCTCGTCTGTGCCTGTGGCGCCTGTAGTTGAAACAGTGCTTCCTAGATAGGTGAAGGAGGTTACTTCCTTTAAGTTTCTCCCGTTGATGGTGACTGGAGTTTGTTGTTGTTGGTGGTGGTGGTGGTGCGGTATCTTCATCACTTCTGTCTTCTCTATATTCACTTGAAGTCCCGTCTTCGCTGCCCTGCCTCTTCTGCCAACTTGTTAGTTTTTGCCTGTAGATCTTCAAGTTTATGTGACATCAGGCACAAGTTATCGGCGAAATCGAAATCTTCTAGGTTCTTTTCAGCAGTCCAGTGTATCCCCCTCTTCTCGCTCCCCACTGTTTGCTGCATGATCCAGTCCACCACAGTCAGGAATATCATGGGGGATAGTAGGCAACCTTGTTTCACTCATGTCTTCACTTCACTACAGTGGCATCACTGAGCTTCCCATTGTGAATTACTTGGCTGGCATGTGGCGTCTTCATATAGTTGTTGAATGAGGCTGATGAAGGTTTGCGGTACTCCGTAGTATTGAAGCAGTTTCCAAGTTACTTCTCGGTCGACGCTGTCAAAGGCATTTTCAAAGTGAATGAAGTTGAGGTAGAGAGAGTTGACTACCATTCTATGCTCTGTTCTATAGTGATGCGATGCGTTGCAATTTGGTCCTCACATGATTTGTACTTTCTGAAGCCTGCCTGTTCCGGTCGTAGTTTTGAATCCAGCGCATCCTTTAGTTCTCTCCAGGATGATTTGGCTTAATATTTCGCTTGCTTTGAGTGGACATGAGCATGATTCCGCTCCAGTTCTTGCAAACACTGAGGTCTCCCTTCTTCGGGAGTTTGGCAAGTTAGCCCTCCTTCCAATCAATGGGCAGGTACCTTCCCTTCCTTCCACACCTTCTGCAATAGTGGTGTGAGCATGTCCGCTGTTATCTCTGCGTCTGTTCTCAGTGCTTCTGGTGGGATTCCATCTGGTTCTGCTGCTTTCCCACATTTCAGTAGCTTTATGGCGTTCAGGACTTCTATTTTTGTTGGAGGATTTATGCTCACTTGTAGTTCAGTAGCTGCAGGTGGTATTTCTGGACGAAGTCCATTTGGTGGTGGTGGTCGATTCAAGAGCTTCTTGAAGTGGTCGGCCCATTGTTTCCTTTGTTTCTCTTCTTTCATAATTAAATTTCCTTCTTCATCTTTTATTGGTTTCATCTGCGTTGATCTCCTCCCAGATAGCAACCTGGTTATTTGATACAATGTTGTCAGGTCTCTCTTACCTGCAGCCTGTTCTGCTTCACTTGCCAGTATTTCGTAGAAGTGTCTTTTGTCTTTCCGTACACTCTTCTTCACTTCTTTGTCCAGCGTAGTGTTTTATACATTGTACTCTGTTCCTTTTCTTCTCATTGTTCATTCTTACACTGGCTTGTTTTCTGCTTCACCATCCTCCTCTCCTCTATCAGCTTCCATGTGTCCATCGAGATCCATTCCTTGTCTTCTTTCTTCTTTTTTCCTAATACGGTTATGCAGGTTTCTTTCCACATCTCTTTCAAAGACTTCTAGTGTTCTTCCACACAGCCTTCTTCAGAGATGTTGTTCGATATCTCCCATTTTGTCTTGATGTGACTGACGTGAAGATTTCCTTTGTAATTTCATCCTTCATTTTCCGAGTGTTGTACTTGAACTGTGGTCTATCACCAGCTTCCTTGAAGGCTTTCAACTTGATTTGGAAGGTTCCTTGCACTAGATAGAGGTCTGAACCTGCATCTGCTCCTCTTCTTGACCTTGTGTCAAGTAGACTGCGTCTCCATTTTCTTGAGATTGAGATAAAGTCGATTTGATTTTTAGTGTGTCCTTTATATGGTGAAATCCATGCCACCTTGTGAATATCCTTGTGATTTTATACACTGCCTCCAATCACCAAATCGTTGAATGCACAGAATTCTGCAAACAATTCTCCATTCTCGTTCATCATCTCACCGAGCGCTTCTCGACTCATGGTTAGTTCTCTTCCGGTGTTGCCCCCTCCCAGTTTGGCATTCATGTCACCCCAACCATTAGAATTTTGATATCGCCAACTGAGGTCTTGTCCAATGTTGATTGGAGTTGTCTGTAGAAATCCTCCTTTTTCTCTTGCTCTGCATTATTTGTAGGTGCATAACATTGTATGATTGTGACCTTTCTTCCTTTTGAGTTGAATCTTGCTATCATGATCCTGGAGGAGATTGGTTCCCACTGCATGAGAGCCTTCGATGCTCTTGAGGACATCATGATAGCCACTCCATAACTCAGTGTGCTCGTGGTTGTCGTCTGGGTGACCGGAGTAGATTATTGATTCTCCAGTTGACAGTTTGGAGAGTCCACTCCCATTCCATCTGCTTTCGCAGATTCCAAGCACTTCCATGCCATATCTCCTGATCTCTTTTGCAATCTGGGCTGCCTTGTTAAGCTCATACATAGTGCGGACATTCTATGTCCCCATTCTTATTTTCGCTTTCATCAAGGGACAGAAGACACATCGGCCAATTGGCTTTCCTGAAAGGCTTTCATCAACGGGCGTCATTTAGCTTCTCCGATTCCAGCGAGAAATAATTTTGTTATTATTTTTTATATTTTGTTTGTGCTTTGAAGTTTCTTCTAGCAGTTGGATTGATTTTACGGGGTAGGGTTGCTAACCCTATGCCGAACCTTCCCTCTTTACCCGGGCTTAGGACCGGCTTGTAACTAGGTGAACTAGTTAACCAGGCGAGGTTAGTAATTGATTATGTGATGCGAACCAGTCTCCTGCAGGATCATGACAGCAAGGTTCAAGTCAAAAGGAAGAAAGGTCACAATCATACTATGCTACGCTACGCACCTACAAATAATGCAGAGCAAGAGAAAAAGGACGAATTCTACAGACAACTCCAATCAACATTGGACAAGACCTCAGTTGGCGATATCAAAATTCTAATGGGCGACATGAATGCCAAACTGGGAGGGGACAACACGGGAAGAGAACTAACCATGGGTCGAGAAGCGCTCGGTGAGGTGATGAACGAGAATGGAGAATTGTTTGCAGAATTCTGTGCATTCAACGATTTGGTGATTGGAGGCAGTGTATAAAATCACAAGGATATTCACAAGGTGGCATGGATTTCACCATATGGACACACTAAAAATCAAATCGACTTTATCTCAATCTCAAGAAAATGGAGACGCAGTCTACTGACACAAGGTCAAGAAGAGGAGCAGATGCAGGTTCAGACCTCTATCTAGTGCAAGGAACCTTCCAAATCAAGTTGAAAGCCTTCAAGGAAGCTGGTGATAGACCACAGTTCAAGTACAACACTCGGAAAATGAAGGATGAAATTACAAAGGAAATCTTCACGTCAGTCAGCCATCAGACAAAATGGGAGATATCGAACAACATCTCTGAAGAAGGCTGTGTGGAAGAACACTAGAAGTCTTTGAAAGAGATGTGGAAAGAAACCTGCATAACCGTATTAGGAAAGAAGAAAGAAGACAAGGAATGGATCTCGATAGATACATGGAAGATGATTGAGGAGGGAGAGGAGGATGGTGAAGCAGAAGATGAACCAGTGCAGTACAAGGATGAACAACGAGAAGAGGAACTGAGTACAACATTACACCGGACACAGAAGTGAAGAACAGTGCACGGAAAGACAATAGACACTTCTACGACACACTAGCAGGTGAGGCAGAATAGGCTGCAGGTTGGGGGCCAGAGATCTAGCTACATTGTACCAAATAACCAGGTTACTATCTGGCAGAAAGAGATCAACACAGATGAAGCCAACGGAAGATAGTGAAGGAAACCTAGTTACCAAAGAGGAGAAACAAAGGGAAGGATGGGCTGACCACTTCAAAAAGCTCTTGAATCGACTACCACCTGCAACTCGTTTAGAAATGCCACCAGCAACCGCAGAAATACCAGTGAACACAAGCCCTCTGACAAAAGCGGAAGTAAAGCCCTGAACACCATGAAGTTGCTGAAATCCGAGAGAGCAGCGCGACCGGATGGAATTCATCCAAAAGCACTGAAAACAGACTCAGAGACAACAGCGGATACGCTCATACCAGTATTACAGAAAGTTTGAAAGGAAGGAGGAAAACGTGCCTACCGACTGATTAGAAGAAATGCTACCTGGTGAGACTCCCAAAGAAAAGGTATCCAAGTGCTTGCAAGAACTGTCGCGGAATCATGCTCCTGTCAACCCCAGGCAAAATATTTTGCCGCATTATCCTGGAGAGACTAAAGGATGCTCTGGGTTCAAAATTACGACCGGAACAGGCTGGCTGTCTTCAGGAAGTACAAATCATATGCGGACCAAACTTCAACGCTACACTGCTCATCATCATAGAACAGAGGATAGAACGGCCGTCAACTCTTTATCTCAACTTCATTGACTTTGAGAAGGCCTTTGACAGTGTCGCTTGAGAAGTAATTTGGCAGGCAGCTGCTTCAACACTATGGTTTTAGTGCCACACACTTTGATCAACCTCATTCAACAGCTGTGTGCTATGCTATTTGATACTACGTCCTAAGTGATTCAGAATGGAAAGCTCAGTGATGCCTTTGAAGCGAAGTGACGACAGGAGTAAGACAATGCTGCCTACTACTACCAATGATGTTCCTGATTGTGGTGGACTGGGTCATGCAGCAAACCGTGAGGAACGACAAGATGTTCGGTGAAAAGACCCTAGAAAATTTGGATTTCGGCGGTGATGATTTATGTCTAGTGTTGCGCAAACCCGAAGATCTACAGGCAAAAACCAACAAGTTGACAGAAGAGGCGAGGCAGCGAAGACGGGATTTTCTTGAGATGAACGTAGAGAAGACAGATGTGATGAAGATACACAACAACAACAACAACAACAACAGAAAGCACCGATCATCATGAAGGGGATAAACCTAAAGGAAGTTGCCTCTTTCACCTAACTACCTAGGCAGCATCGTTTCAACTACAGGTGGCACAGGCACACATGAGCATGTCAAAGCCAGTCAGGATCGGAAAGATAGCAAGACAGGGCTTACTGCATTGATATGAAATCTGTGTGGAGATCTACTGCACTGCATTCAGCATAAAGTGTGAACAACATCCGGATTTTCAACACTAATCTCAGTCAAGTCAGTCAGTGCTTCTATGTGATGGTTGAGAGACTTGATGAGTTGCGAAAAGCATTTCCAACAAACTACAGACATTCATCAACATCTGTCGCTACACTAACTTGACACTGAAGATCAGATGGATGACGAGAATAATAAGAATGAGCAAGGAGGAACTCTGGCTGACTGGTAACGAACCAACCAACAACCTATCACCCAACAAATATGCAGCAGAAGAAAGTGGAGATGAACTGGATTGGATTGGACATACACTGAGAAAACGATTCTGGGACACGACGCACCAGGCTAGGTGCTCAAGTGGAAGTCAGAGGAGAAAGGATGAGTTGGGCGTCCGATGTGAGGGTGACATGGAGGAGATGATGTGAGGAAGAAATGAAAGGTTGTGGGCATTGGTGGAGTCAGGTTGAAAAGACTTGAGAGAAGAGAGTGAAATGGAGACGTGCTAGTGAAGCTCTATGTTCCACTAGGAACCCAAGGGACAACTAATAATAATAATAATAATAATAATAATAATAATAATAATAATAATAATAATAATGATAATACCATTCAGCTCATAAAACTAAACGCCACCTTCATCATGGTTTGACAAATTTACTCAACACTTGTTCGTGGTGCAATTTGATGAAGCCCAAGATTAATAATACATTTCTATTTATTTTTCATATCATTTGAAGTTATCTTATATAAGTGTATTGCTTCTTCTAGTAATGCTCGGGATCATTATTTTATCTTCTTTGAAATGACTAGGGATTGGAATGTTGGCGAGTGATAATTATATCAGTCCAACCATTGAAGAATTTGTTCGTGATACAAGACAGGCCCTTGAAGTAAGTAAACTTATGTGCTTAGATCATTCTTGTTCTCCTTACTTTTTGTATCTTTTTCACTGTTAACTGTACACTCCTCTTTTGAAACTGGTGCTTATACCGATAAAAAATTCACTTTCAAGGTGCACGAAGACCATCAGAACATACACAGTTTTACGTTGCTGGTGCTCACCATTCATTCATGTCAGAAAGCATACCTACCTGTTTGCCAATATATCGTGTGTCATACTGTGACTATGAGTAAATTTCATTTATGCCCAGGATGCTTGACAGAGCACTTTGGAACGCAATTCAACTGGCTTACTGCTGCAGCAACATGAACATCAGTGTCTTCTGCTCCATAGTCAATTGACAACTATCCACTGTACAAAGTGGAGGTCTGTAAAGAAATTCAAGTACTTAAATCACCATTAGGCACCCGGCCGAAACAACTTAAAACTGGATCTTTCTTAGGATTAAGGTGAGACTGTAACCAGTGAACTGACTACAGTGTTTGAGAGGATATGACACACTAAGATTGTTTTGTCACTCTTAAATGCAACCATTGTTGTACCCATCTTTAAAAAGGGTGTGCATAATGTATTTGATAATCAGGATATAAGTCTACTACTGCCAGCACCTAAAGTGTTGGGTGCTGTCGTAGTTTGCAGGTTGCACAAAACACATGAGAAACTGCTCAAGAAGTAGGCCAGGTTTTCTTTATGTGTCGAATGAGTTGATCAAAGGTTCACCCTCGGCCAGAGGTTGAACACCATCGCATTTATTACAGACCAACGAGAGTTGTATACCTTGGTATCAAGAGTACGTTTGAGTCGTTCAATAGGTCTATTCTCTGAAATTATCTGTTTGTAAGCGTTGTCCCTGTGGACTTTATTACCATCCTGAGAGCCCTACGCTTCAAAACCTCAGATAAAATGAAGGCATACATGCATTGTTCCAAACCAACGGTGAGGGTTAAGTAGGGGTATATAATTTCATAATTTCTTTAACTTTTTCATCAATGGAATTCTATAGACACCCCTGAAGGAAGTGCGTGTTGACTGTGTAGACCTGCTACTTGGTGAAAGACTTCTCAACTTCTAGTGTGTGGATGATATTGTTTTTCTGTCTGACAACATACGGCCTACTTAAGTTACACTTAGTCAGTTGGCGATTGATGTCTGGTACGGTATGTGCCTTGCACCATCGGAGTGTAAAGTGTGTGTACAAGATTAGCAGGAGCCTGTATCTGCACTAATTCTAGATATCGGGTCGTTGGAAGTTGTCGGAAGGTTTTTCTACCTGGGTATTTATATAACCGATGACATTTCCATCCGCAAATGGAGAGCCAAAGTGGATATTCCAATCTGGACCACCTTCAGCTCTATTTTGATGCTAACTTTGCTGTGGAAGGTCGGGTATACAACACATTAATGCAGGTAGTTCTACTTTACACCTATGAAACGTGATCTCTTTGAGCTGAGGATGTTCAATGACCGCGTTTTCGACCTCATTTTCCGAAGGATTGCTCGCACTGGATAAAGATATCATATAAGTAGTTCTGAGGTGAGGCAATATATGTGTTGTGCGATGGAGATAGTCACTCATTCTGAAACACTAACTTCAGTGAGTGTGCGACATTTGTTACACATATCGTTCCAATGGCTCCTACACCGTTCACTATTCGCTTACCCTGAAACTCGTTGCAATAAACAGAGAAGGGACAAGTATTTAACGTGATGCTGTCGGACAAAGGATAATTGTGTTGAGTTAGCATCTGTAGATGCTTCACAACCCCTTGCTTAGTGTTTGAGAAATGTGCAACTCAGTGACCTGAAACAATCGCTCAGAATCAAAATAAGTGCCAATCATACTGGTGTTTTCGTGTTTCTTCTGTTCCTCTTTCTTCTGAAAAGAAAGAGGGAAGTAGTGAACGTTTTTCAGATGTATTTATGAGAGTGCTTTTTTTAACAACCCACTTCTATTTTTTTCCATTTTCCATGTCTTTTTAATGTCATTATTTTGCATGGAGCATCAGCTCGCTTTCTAATAATAATAAAAGAAATAATAATAACAATACAACTACTACTGAAGTGACCGAGTAAATTATAAATACGTGAATACTAACTCAATGAGACACTTGGACTGGCATAAGTATAATGGGTGCTCTTCCACAGTACCTTATACTTCATTGGGCCACAAAAATATCAGAAGACAGAGACTGTTCTGTGACTGTAAGGAAAACACTACTCGATACAAACACTTCATTTATATATAACTTATCTTGATTGGTCAATTGTAGGGTGAATCGCCCATTAAGGTTTTTCTTGACCACACATCGATATGAAACAGAAATTGACTTAAAATGTTGATTTCCATTTATGCTGTCGCTTATCAACTACTACCTGTCTATCATTTATGTTGCGAATTCATCCACTGATTATCTGTATTAAAACTAGATGAATTCTTATTCTGTGACTATTCTCTGCTTACAACTGAAGTGAAATTCTGTTGTATTCAGAAAGTTCTGTCGCTTAACCATAAGCACCATACACTGGTCGGTTGTAAAATCATCAATCAATAATTAAAGTACATGTTTATATATTTGACTGTGTCATATTTATGAAACTGCACTGTTCGGTTGGTCAGATTGAATTGCATGAGAAAGTGTTCAAATTTAATATCCGTTTCTAGAAAGTTGAATGTTAATATCAGTAAACCACAGCTCGCCTATGAATCGACTATCTTACTTTCTGTATTGGTTATTGTTTATCGATAAATATCAGTCATTATGAATGTGAGTAGAATGATGCCTTTTCTTCGAATATCTCATTACTCTTGAATGTGTAAAATTAACACTGTATATTGAGTTATATTGTTATCATGACTTAAGATATTTAAGAGAAGACACTAAGTGATGGTCGTAAATGCTTTACACAGTAGAATTGGCTATAAGAACATGTCTAAGAATGAGCACAAATTATAATAGCAGTTGGAATAAAAATGGGATAAGCTTTAAATTCCCTCGTCTTTCTGTCATAATGTTAAAAATTTTCCAAGTGTTAAAATACATATATACAGCATCAACTGAAATAATTGTTGTCTAACTGCGACCAGACTAAAAAGTGATATCAGTCTATGAAGTTTATGGCTGTTAGTGAGAGCTTTGTTCGGTAATATAGACTTCCAGGTTACGGTCCGTGTGAGAGTCGAAGTTGACGGTTAGCGACTGTAGATGAATTGATCGCAGTTGATACAAATGCATCCACACCCCCATCGTCATCTTATTGGCTATATCACATTCCTTGTCTTCTAACAACTTTCTGTTACTTTGATTACATTTTTGCAATTTTTCTTCTCAACTTCGTATATTGTGTTGGTGTTAAGGTATAACAACTTAGAATGTTGTTCTGTAACACCATGTCTTTTGTTGACATTGACTGAGTATTTGACTTACTACTAGCAATGTAGACTTAACAGAGACTGCAGCATAATCGCTAGTGATTCGCGTTTATTCCACATTCAGTAATGCTTTGGGGCTCGAGCGCATAATTACCATAACTGAACTACTAATTTTGAATGCACCATCAGATCCTAACACAACACATATCTCTCTACACAGCTCAATATGCTATATATTCACAGTCTAACCAATTCTTTCAACCAGTCCTATCATTGCTAGATAGTTCTTGCTCAGTATCGAAACCATTTATAAGCATCATGATGAAAGTTTCACAATCGAAGAATGTATATATGTTTATGTAATTAGAATATCTAAACAACACTTGTCATTACACTAAGCCTCAACACTACCTACCTTATGCTAGCACTAAACATAAGAAGGCGGTGATAATTGGCCATGCATTGAGTTCAAAGTTTTTCGGTTTTCAAAAACATAGCAGAATTATTTTTATCGAGATATTATTCACCTTATCTGTTCACCTAGATTTTTTTCGGATTACAAAATACAATAAATGATAACTCATCCTAACAGAATGTGCATTCAATTTCTGGTTGGCAAATACACTTTGTTAATAGACTATCCATTTTGATTAGAAAATAAACTCCGGCATAACTAAATGGTCAGTGATTCATATACATTGGATCAAGAAATTCCCAAAGTAGTATTGGATTGGAAGAGGACTAATAGTAGTCAAATCAAGACGTGATAGTGATGAAAGAAGTTTTTGACTGTTAACCTGGACCATGTAGGTCGCCTGACTGGCTTCTGTGAAACGATAAAATTCATTAGTTGGAGATTGATGGCTATATGTGTGGAAATCGGTTACAATGGTACAGATGTATATACTCTTTGTCACCTTCGGAGTCTTTACTATTTTCATTAACCTTCATATTCTTATTGTGGAGCTGTGGCTCAGTAGTTTGAGGAGATGACTAACAACCATTGGGTCAGGAGTTTGAGCCCCCCTCCACTTACTGAGGTTTGAGCTGCCAGACAGTATCATCAGCCCTCACTCAATAAATGTGGCTCATTGCTGCACAGATGTGCACATGATGCGTTTCATTCACGTATTTTTTCGGTCTCGTTTCATATACCTTTATGCCGTTCTTCTCCTATACACTACCATATCTGCTGCTGTTAATTGTGGCGATTTTCGGTACACAACTTGTGTCATACCAGTGGTACTTGGTCCCAAATGTTGTTATTGACTGACTGTGCTAAGTTCAACAGTAATTTGTCCATGTTTCTATTTATAATTATATATATATATATATATATATATATATATATATATATATATATATATATATATATATATATATAGGTAGTCTTTGCAACTTTAACTGATTTTTTCACTGTCAAATTGAACACCCGCACCATTTTAACCACCTGGACATTGCGATTTAGCTTGACTTTGATATACTTGCCACCTAAAACTCAGTTTGAGTAAAACAAAATAAATTAGGCAGTTCATCTCGTCTTATTAACATTTAATTGAAGAAAATGAATTTATTTTTACATTTTACTCATATTTATTTACTGTACAATTATATCCTAAATATTATTTTTGTGATAGAGTGGGAGTACACAGCAGTCTACTTTATCCATTCCATCGTCGAGCACTTCTAGCAGTCAACCTTCATTTAGATCGCCTGTTCCCAATACACATATGAAAATGTATTCAAACGATGTGTTGTAAGTCGATATTTGACCTCGCCTACTGTTTATGCATTACTAATACTGATAATTATGTTGTAAAACGCTGAGAGTTGCCCAGTTTTTTTTTCTTCTTTTGATTCACTATTTTGAGTTTGCTAAGATTGTTGTTTAAGGGCTTAAAGTATAAAAGTAACTCAATTATAAACTGAGGTTGTATAGGGCGACCAGGATTATTAATCCCCCTTTTTCGAACTGATAGTTTTATTGAAGTATGGGTGCTTTATTTTGTAGATTTGGTTCATTTTCATGAAGATGAGTAAAACGGACTCTTATGATGTAGTGGAAACATGAATTAGCCGTCGAAATCTTGGAACAGATACAAAAGGTTGAATGAACTTTCATCAAATTAGCACTAATTTTTGCTCAGATGAGATATATGAGTGCCTATAAAAAGTCCCATGTGACTATTTATTTATTTCAGTCCTAAATGGAGTGACTATTGTTTACAGTTTATTCAATTATAGTACGGTCTATGGATCCTTCGGTACTTCTTTGCAACCATATTCGGTAGTCATTTCGGGCCATTTTGAATATGATGTGCATTTAACAATGCATATGGGGATAAAGGAAATTACATAGAAATTTAGAGGTGATAAGTCGCGAGAACTTATCTCCCGTGTTATAAATTAATCGACGATTGGAATACCATCTTTAGATAGATGTGGAGTCATTTTTGTTGTTGATCTATGAGTGATGGTGGATACCTCCTTTTAGTTAGAATTTCTGTGAATATGACATCAGAACTACGGTTTTACAGTGGATGCGGGTTATACTTAGTTCTTTTTTGTAATATCTGACTGTCAGCTTATGTAGACATGTAAATCACATTAACTTGTCAATTCTAAGCTAAGAAAAGGAATTTCGAAGATGTTTTCCACCTGAAAATCTCATTGTTTGCTCAACTGTTGGTGAACGCCTGCAGTGTATGTTTCGAGTCACATCGACTGTCTCAGGCACTGAAACTGATAACCCTACATTCATATTAACGTTCATTTACGAGTGAATGGCTGGATGTATTGCATAGAATACACTAGAGTGAAAACATATAAACAATCTAGAAACGGTGTATGCTAATCGATATTCTTATTCTATGTTAAAGAATCGCCTTAGCTTTAAATCGTCTTCCTTGTAGGTTAATATCTTATTGTAATCTCTGATATATACTTAATGTTTATGCCCTTGTTTTGTTTTTTGTTTCTAGTGAATCTACCACCAAACAACTGTCACCTAGTCAAAGTTCCACACTTGTCACGAATCTGTCTTCACCTCGATTATCTGATAAAAGTGCTGTCAACAGTAAAGCATCGAGGCAGCGATTAGCCTGTGATGGTCTCACTTTCCAATCTACTCCTGCTTCTTCTTCTTCTTCTTCATCACCTCAGCCTAAGTCAACTGCTGGCTGCGAGTCAGTCGATCGAGCAGATGATAAACAATCACAAGTTAATTGTAAAAATAGAAAAAATGAATCCCTCCCTATAAATTTACTACATATTCGTTATGAGTCTCTATCTCCTACACCGTTGCCATCAACGCAGCATACTTCAACACCAAAATCACCACCACCATCATCATCTGCTCATCAAAATCAGTCCTTCAATTCACCGTATGCAATATCAAATACAAAAACTGCTCCTGTCACTCCAGTTCGTGGCACAAGAGATCATCCATGCAAAATACTCTCCCGTGCTTCAGAAATTTCAGATCCTCTTCAGAAATGCTGTACTACTGTTGCTAATATTCCTATTAGTAGTAAGCACAAATCACTTTGTCGAATAACTGTTCCTTCCAGTCCACCTATCATTCCTCCGCGTAGACCCAAAAGCAGACATGCTTCTCAGGGGAGACAAAATCACCTTCACCCTGATAATACTAGTAGTAATAATGATCGAAAAATGACTACACGACTTTAGACTTACTTTCTAATGTGTTTTCTTATTTCTTATTTCTTTATGTATTTAAGGCTTTTCCTAGATAGACTGACTACCTATACACAGAAATGTGTGTGGCATGCAGTTTAAATTCGCTAAGTGAACTTAGAGTAAGTAAAAGGGGTGTGAATATGACATCTCTCTGTGTTGTTGTTTCTCGTGGTGATGATATTGTCATTTCGAGTTGATAATAAGATTCACAGGCGTTTTCTGTTGACTGTTACCTTTACACCAAATGCTTGAAGTACACCTTTACCCCTTTTATGTCTCACGTATCCATGCACATGCACACATGTGAGCACATACCTATGTACATGCACTTAACATATACTAATCTGTATGTATTTACGTTTGTCTGAAGGGAGGGAATAGTATGTCATAGTTTGGCATTTTGTGTGGGATATGTAGGCAGTGGAATTAAACTTTATCAGCTGGAAATACATCAATTGTTCATTGAGTTAATGACTATGGGTTTGTGTTGAACAGGTGTGTTCGGGTGTATGGGAGAAGTTGCCAGGTGAGTTAGGGCTAAAGCGTCTTTTGGTTGATACACTAAAAATATAGTATCAATCTTTGTTAGTAGATATTAGATAGCGAAAACGGAAATTCAGTGCTGGTGATGCAGACACATTTAGTGTGTTAATCATATACCATAGAAACTTCAAACCGTATTATGTAGTGTCTTTTTCATACTTGTTTTTTAGAGGGGGGGGGGGGAAGGAGGAGATAAATCCTTCATGTTCTGTGCATTTAAACTCTAATGTAATTCGCTTTCAAATGATAGAGAATATTAACAAGTAATAATAATATTTTCGGCTCAGGTTGATGATCTTGGTTGTATTTAATACCATTGCTCACGTTTGCTGGGATCATCGTGTGGGCAATGTTGAAGTCAGGCGAAGGGTACTAGACAAGACAGGTAAGTCAACTGATGAGGTTGTCACTTTCATCGACTCATATAGCTTCGATATGTACTCCCTAAGCCGATCCACCGTCTACGTAGGCGAAACTGGATTAAGTTGGAAGAGGGCTCAGGGTGACGAGACCAAGACGTGGGACCAGTATATAAAGTTAGTGACTGTTGGTTTTAGCCGTATGGAGCGATGTAGGCTATCTGACTCGGATCCTTGAGACGAAAGAGATCAATGGTTGATATGGCTGAAAATCGGTCACGGTGGCACAGATGTATTTACTCCTTGACATCTTCTAAAGCTTGGATATTTGCAGTAACTGTTGTCTTCATATCGTTTATTCTGTCACACAACTTTGTCCACTTTGATATGTCTTTTTCTATCCACTTATTCTCTTTGTACTACTGTGTAGTGTGGCAAGTTGAACCAATGCACTTGTGTGCGAGGTTCTGTGTTGATTTTTTCTGTCTGGTTTGATAATGAAGCTTTCATTGTATTTATAGACAACATCGTGAGCTCTGACTTCAGAAATGACGAAATCAGCTATTAGGATTTCTCTGTGAGTGGTTAAGTATCTTGATTATTGTGTCATTGACCGCAAAGTTTTTCCTATTGACCATTTCTCTACCTGATGTCTGACCTTATATTTGTTTGTCGCTCGTCTTATTAGTTAACAGATTGAATCTAGGTCTATTTATCTATTGACTACTGACTGACCAGAGATCACGAAAAGACTACTGAGACCATTTGGAATGGGCGTGGGTCATAAACTGACAAATTCTCTTCAAACAATGTTATCTAGACGAAAGGATGCAACAACTAAGTGTCATTTATGAGGTCGACTGAAGCAACTGCCATTATTAGCTCACTACATTGAACAAAGTGGTCACCCTCTCTACTTTCGCCTGATTGAACGTCATTTGGCTACTAAACGTCACCACATTTCGTTTCTCGTATCAATGCATGTAGACACTTAAGGACATGAGTTCATTTCTGAAAATGCAGACGAAACACCAAGAACTAGATAATTCTTAGTAGTTTACCATTCAGGTCAGTCAGCAGTCAATAGATGTATAGACACAGACCCAGTCTACCAACCAATGAGACGAGCGACAAACAAGTATAAGGTCAGACATCAGGTAGAGAAACGATAAGTAGGAAAATCTTTTCGGTCAATCTAAGAAAGCTATTAATCACACATCATTTCATGAGGATAAGATACTGAATCACTCACGGAGTAATCCTGATAGCTCACTTCATCATATTGAATTTATATCTGATGATGTTGTCTATAAAGATATGTCAAACTTCATGATTAAACTATCTACTCCACAGAACGTAGCACAACCAAAATGATTCACTTTTCACGTATGATAGACGAATGCTTTGTGTGTTATGCACGAGAGACATTATTCACCGGTTTTACTTCCATTTACCTTTTGTTTTGTCAAAATTTCATAATATTAATGTTTCACTGCTTTTCAACTCTCTTCATCAATGCACTTGATTAATCATGAATTATTTATTACTGCTTTGATTTACTGATTCATGTATTCACTTGGTAATTGTTGTATTGCGTGCATTCTATATATATTATTTCTCTACGGTGTAATCTATTTCTTTTGTGTACAGAATACTAATTTTGATTGTTTAGTGACATTCATCTTTTCTTATTTATTTGCTTTTAGATAAAAATAAACTTTCTGTTGTTAAACGACTGTTTCATGACCCACCTCCACTGTCGCCTTCACCAACTGTCATCAATCCTAAGGATGACAAAAATATTGATTTTCCAGTTACAAAACACCAGTTACCGTTAAAACCAGCAGTTACATTGTCGTCTTCATTGTCATCATGTGCAAATCATGAAGACATGCCATCGAAATTTTGTACACCGATATCAAAGCATACAAATCAACCTCCACTGTATTATCAACATTCTCATTGTCTTTCACAAACATTTCCACTTACATTGTCTGAAACAAAAATGAGATGTTCATCATTTCGTATGCCTAAGTTGTCATTATCGCCGTCACTACAATCACCAACAGCTCCTGCATCTTACCGACAAGGTATGAATCCCAGATATCAACAATATCCTTTTTACTTATCACATCTGGCTTTAGCAGCACTTGCAGCTGTTCAAGTGGCAATGACTAATAATGATGATGTTGATATCTCTATTGATGGTAACATTCACAATCCTGTTTACAGTGATGGTAATTTATCCATGAATCACCAACATTCACCAAGTTTCTATTACCGTTCTCATTCTTCACCAATGAGTTCAACTTGTCTACATATGGAATCATCTAATTGGTTGGAAGTAATTCGAGAAGTAGGTGCCTTTGTTTACCGTCATTTGTCTTCTGTTTGCTTTATAAACACCAGTATTATTATTCATATTATGACTATTATTATCTTTTTCATTTAATACTTCAACCGATTACTTTTTGATTGTCTGGTTACTTTGGTGATAAGTCACTATTATTACTTTTAAACTGTGCCGTTGAATCACAACTCCATTTACTTTAACACAACGACGTTCAACTGTTTATTTCTTATGTTGCCAACAAAGCTAATTGATTTTGGCCGAATATATGATATACATTTTACTCTCATAGCCAGTACAGTTTGTTTAACGCTTATGTAGACTCTACTGAAAGCAAATCTGATACCTCATAAACTGTACCCAACAGCAAATTCCCATTTATTTACTTTATTAAACTGACTAAAATAAAAAACCAAATCCTTGAGTAGTGAGTTTTATTGTCTCGAAAACAAGGATGCAATGAGGGTCGTAATCTTTTGTATAAATGTTGGTCATTGATGAACCTAAAGTTAACCCGGTAATTACATAGCTAAGAACCTTGAAAATTTATGAAGGTTACAAATCCTCCTGTGATAACCACTGGGAAATCAACCTGATGAATGGTGTCTAAGATTCTAGGTTCTATCATTATCATCATGCGCCTGAGTGGATCTCAGGAACAGCAAACACGAGAAAACCAGGCAGGTTGAAGACCTGACTGTGGGTCTTCGACCTTCCACTAGTTGTCAGAAAACATACATATCGCTATCTGAGAAAAGCTGTATTTCTTTGTGTGCAGTGTAAAGGCCACATCCGATTCTGTCTGCCGGTAGTTCGTATGGCAGTTTCGCTGAAAGGCGTACCGAGTGAACACATCACTTTGTTAAGGGCTCTGTACTCGAACGCCCTTCGACGTGTTTGGGCCTTTAGTGGGTTATCAGGTGGTGTCCATCAAAGAAATCCATTCTCTTCATTCTTATTCAGCTTTATCACATATGCACTTCCCCTTTTTCTCTCACTTTACAGGGATTGATGTTGTTACACCTTGAGTGGCAATTTGAAGATGTCCGAGATGCGTTTCTTGCCACCTAAAAGCAAATTGTCGCTCGTGGACCATCAGTGGGGAGAGAGTTAGTTGAACGTGTTGACCACTTCAGCTTACCTGGGAAGTCACGTCAGTCCTGGTGGTTGAGTGACCAACGAAATCTCTGCACTCATCGAAAATCTTTACCTGGCCTTTACTTACGTCTTTTATGGCACCACTGAGTGTATTACTCTCTCTTAATATATGACTGTAAAACATATTGATTGAGGGTAAGGGAAGTGGGATGTCTTCACGTGTCCCATCATCGTCATCTTCGTAGCATACTTTAGAGTTGTCAGTATGTCGCCCCCTGAGTAACGTAGAAGTCAGGTGTGTAGCTTTGGGTAGGAGATAAAGGTTAGTTACTAAGATCGTTGACCTTGGCTGGGACGTGTGTTATTCATGACTATTTACCATCTGCCTCATCACGCATTGTTGTTTGTTTCAGTTGTGTATGCTGCACTAAGGTTGGAGGTGTCCAGAATAAGATATGTCATCAGCCCATGAATTCTCTTACAGATAGTCTGAGCCTTTCAGGGAAATTTAGACTTCGTTTTTGACGCAGATGCCTTCATTTGTGGTTTTATCCATAACTGTGTGCCCAACTTCATGATTATTTCATTCCTTCTTGTTATTTTTTCACTTATTGACTACTTTCTTCCTCACATGTTTGTTTCATCTTGAAACCTTCTACCTCGATATGGTGATATGACGTGTGGCAATTTTATGTCGTCACATAGTAATTAGTGTCATGTTCCATATTGATGCTGGGTAATGTGTTATGAATATAAAATGCAATTTTGAAGGTCTGATGTAGTTTTCTTTCCCGATTTACTTCAAGATTTAAGTAATAATTATGGGTATTGTACAAAATAGCTAGCGGAACAGTGGCTCCATTGGTCTAGGCAGTCGACTTCCAACCAGTGGGTTTGAACACCGCACCACCTACTGAGGCTTAGGTGGCCAGGTAGCATCATTGGCCCTCATACAGTATCTGTGACTCATTGTCTAATGAGTGAATGTGCACAAGATTTTCGACCTGCTGCCCTACACTATGAAGATAAGTGGAAATGAATATTGCCAAAATGGTTTGAGGCAAAAATTTCCGCTTCATCTCCTTTCTGGAAGTAATTAGCATTGTACTGGCTTGTAGATAATCGGAGAAAGCGCTTACTATTTTGAAATTAGTCTTGCTTTCTGTTGATAGGTTTATTCCCACATCTACCAGTCAACTGCCCACCGTTAATTTTGGAGAAGCAGTATTATTTCAGACGTGTATCCTCCGAGTTCGTTGTCGAATGATTATAAACCTTATACGATGTAGCCTTAGTCTGTAACACTTCTGCGGCAGTCATGGCCCACCTCTTCCCGCACTCGTGACAATGTTCTGGCCACTCATCTGATGCTCCAATGACTTAGTACTCAAATTTATGTACTCATTTAATTGAACAGAATACTAATAGTTGCTTATTAAGCGTAACTGGAACTAATGAAAGTCAAATATGTTTTCATTTTTTCAGTACTTGTTACTTAGAATCGGTATTTTTTATGACTGTGACGATGATGCAACAACCTTGAACTTCCAGAGAATAATCAAATTATTCAAGGATGTATGTCTAACTAGTGACAAAAAGCATAGGATTCAGAATTTTAGGATACCACGTTCACAGCCTCAAATACATTGAATGCATTAGGCTGTCCGGAAACCTGACAACAGTTTGTTTTATTAACAGCTTCATGTGAATTCGATTTACGTCGGGGATCAGTATGAAATAATCATTATTATTGCTTTATTACTATTGTTGTTTCCTTTTTATCCCCAGGGTCCTTTGCTATGTTGTACTTCCTCCTTTGCCTCTTTTCAAAATGCTCAGTCACATGAAGTACCACTCATCAGTACACTACCAACCCTACAGCCAGATTGTCAGAACATTCCTTACATCCCATTTTTTCAAACTAATACTGACTTGAGTCCCACAACACCTGAAGTATGTAGTGTAGAGGTAAACGAAGGCAGAAGAACATCTTGCTTTTCCTCATCGAAACCCCGAAGAAAGTCTGACTTTCTCACTGATGTTGTTCACGATCTTTCTGATTTCAATTCCTCTCCTGCCGCTGTTGCTACTACATGTTCGCAATTTTCTATGTCCTCCTCCATGACGTGTGAATTTATCTCACCAATGTCGTCGTCAACTTCCGCCTCCTCTGATTCTTTACCTTCTTGTAACAATTCGCATAAGAAAAATGTCGACACTTATGTGAAAATGCAAAATCATATCCTCAGCTTGCTTATTGCACCACTAATGCTTGTAAATATTACAAACGATTCTCACTTTCACGTACATTTTACAAAAATAAGTTCAAGAATTGTTGGGCTGTGCTTATCGTCTCATCGAATTCTTCTCTTTCTGCTTCCACAATGCATAATTCAAATTCTGGTTGTGCTTATTTAGTCTTGTTCAAAACTCATAAAAGTCATCAATCCAAACAGTTTATCCCATGGTCTGTTTCATCAGTTTCCAGTCGATACAAATTTTCCAAAACACGCAAAAAATTCGATAACTCTCCTAATCATGTAAGTTTATTTATTGTATCTATCATCTGCTATTATGAAAATAAACTTTCTTTACAGACTTCCTAATAAAAAAGTTACTAGTCCTCAGAATTTTTAAACTTTGGTTTTGACTACTTCCTTAATTTTCTGTGTACCAAAAGAATCGGGTCTAACGACTATGGCGATACCTCATATTCAACAAAAACTGCTACCAGGATACCCAAACGTCGTACTTAACATTCATCAATAAAGACTGGTAATCACCTCGAAAATCACAAGACTATCTGCGAAATTCGAATTAGCGCTGGTTAACGCCAACAACAGTAACACTATTGAGTTATTTAAGTGATAACTGACTGGATTCTTTCAAAGTATTTATTGACTACCGAGTCACAGCATTTGTAGCATTTAATTCTTGTTCAGGATCGATTCTGACTTGCTAGTGTACTCTAAGGACAAGGATAAAACGTTAGCTAACCACCTCTCTTGTATTTTACATTCTGGTACTGCTAGGGATGGCTAATCCCTATGAAAACTAACTTATAATATGTTTATATTGTCATTTCAAAGTTTAAGCCTTATTTTATTTTTTACCGCGGTTTAGGATACTAAACTCTGATTGGTCCATTTTACACTTCAAATATGCTATTTTTTCTCTGGCCAAGGCCATCTAAAAATATATAAATGACTGAGTTTTCACTTATTATTATTCTGCTGGAGTAAATAAACTTTCGATCCCATCGTCTTCTGGTGTCAGCGGAATATCGAGTTGAGACGTCATTGTTTTATCGTTAATCGTATCGTCTCAGAGCGTTGTATCGTTATCTATAGTGTTGAATCATAACAGGTACAATTTCATTTTTTTGGGAACATATTGCATTTCACTCCGAAAATTATCAAGAGGTTTACCGTTTGTCGGATAGACTTGCGGGATTTTCCAGTCCCTGTACATTGTCGAAAAGCCCGACACAGATGCATTATCCTGCATATGCCGAATGTGACACTACGACCAGTGGTAACCTTCTCCATCTGAATTGTAAGTACTGATATCCGAAGAGTAAAGTGAAACATTTAGTTACGATAACTAAAGCAAAGCAGTATTTGATAACCAAGTGAAAAGGAGTTGTATTTTATAGGAAATTTCCGCTGTTAACTAAAATGTGTCGTCGCTTTGTCGCTCATTATTATATTTTTGTAATTAATCTCCTGTTTCTCTTTCTACTCAGTTCTCGGCTAGTCGCTGTAAAGTCCTGCGCATACAAACTGCATGCTTCGACAATCGATATTTTCATTCTCTCAATAATAATTTTTTGGTACCCCTGTACTTGTCTTAGAAGCTAGTCCACGCAAACCAAAAGTGTATCGCCTAGTGTGTCATACCTCATATAATCCAGTCTGCAAGTGTTCAGAAAGTAATTCTTCGAAAAGCAGTACATATATAGATCAATTTAAGCCTGGATTAACTCTCAGACTGTTGAAACTCAGGTAACATCAACTTTTTGGCGTTACCTTCATAATTTATTAATCACTTCTTGTTTAACCGTATATAATCTTTGTGTGCTGAAACGGGTAATAAAAACGCAGAAGTGTGTTCTCTTTCGTGGACGTTTATGCGAGTAGGCGTAAGTACTGACTTATGACATGCAGATTAGCTAAATACCAGAATAATGATCGAGTTGATGTTTTTTTTTATCTCCAGAATGCATACGATTGTTCACTGTGATCAATCAGTAACCACTGTGCGATTCAAACTAAGTGAAATTAAAAGACCAAACTGCTAACCCACCAGCTTTATGTTTCATAGTAGCTCAGACTCAAGAACTAGAACACTAGTGCAACAAAACAAATGAGTAACGTGGTAAAACAGTTTTAATCTAACCTTAAAATAACAAATAGCCGGTGCTGAAACATAGGTTAACGGTTAGTCAATTATAATAAGTGCAAAGACGCGCTTTGTCCGCCATCACACATGTAGAAACCTTGATTATAAGTTTGTTTTATTTTTAATAAGCCTTTGTGTTAAAATATAACTCGTCAATACTCCATGCAAATGATCACTTGATGAAAAGTTTATAGTCGATATGGCGGTACAGAATTTGGGCACTGTGTAACTCTGTATTAGACTAGTCTGAAGTTTCCAAAAACTGAAAATATGATAACTTTTAACGAACACCCTTGATACTTATCAATAGGTTGCTGCTAAGGATTATCATTAATTGAAATAAAAAACAAAGTAGGATGATAATTGATTTATTGTGTCAGTGAAATTGTATATTATTGACACGATTATATTTCGGATACAATTTATCAAGATAACCCCACAACTTTGAGATATGATTTCACTGTTTGATGCACCTAGTAAACCAGTGAAAATGGGGTCACATCCTACTAGTGCTCACATTAAATTTCTACTACATGAACACTACCGACCAAATGCGATAAAATTGAGCTTCATTGGTGTATTTCACAGCCACAAAGGTAGGTGCTCAGCAAATCGCTTGTTCAGCTACTTTGGAGTAGGCTGAATAGCTTTCTGGACCTAAGCAGCTGAATTAGAGAAAATCCTAGTCTTTGTGTGCAGAAAACGTTGTACAACCCTCATCTCTTCCATCCTGATTAGGGAAACTTAATAAATGATTGTAGCGATAAAAACTTGTTCCTAAACTCCCTTTCCTTTCTTCACCTCATTCGCATAGACTTCACACTTCAGTTTTTAGTATTGCGCGACTTTTATTTTCCGATATTTTGACCTACATTGATCGTTTAAATGTCTGCAGTACCATGCTGTTCTCCCCATTCTTCTCGTCACTAGGATAACTACTGAGAATATTATTATCCTGATGTTTGCTGTGTGCAAACTTAGCTACCTTACAGCAAATAGGTTGGATAAATAAGAATTGGGAATGTTTGTTATGGAAAAAGCAAAGGTTATTTCGAGTGTAACTTAATTTTTTCAGCGAACTCATCGCACCGTTTATTTGATATAGCACATACTGAATGACGTTTCGAGCAGAACCTATTGCTCATATTTGTAGCAAACTTTGATAGCTCCTCCCAAATTAAAGAGGCCAAATGGATTATTTAGAACACAAAAACTACTCCGTAAAGATGTCTAACGTGCTTGCCACCTCATTCACTCAGAAAATCGCTTCGTTGATAATGGAGTCGTTTTTAATAAAATCTCACATAAAGGCTCTCTGAAATTCGCTGACGAGACATTTAATTGTCCAGAAAGGGTAGATGTTCAACTTTGTCCTGTACAGCAGTCGTCAAAAGTAAGTGATACAAGAAAGTTGGAGACATTCGATTGTCAGTTATCCTCGAGTGTGGTGGCATCAAAGAGTAAGCAATGCTGAGTTTGTTGTAAATTATAGGATCAAGAGAACAGGTAAATGACGACGTAGATTTGCATGTTTTCTCCGGAACATTTATGACGCATAAGCTAATGCCTACATTGCGGTAAGATTGACTACTTTGTAAAGAAGTTAAGGTTAATCAAACCGTGATGTGATACGAGCGCATGAAGTCACTAACTATTTGGACTAATCTGTGAAGAGTACTTTGTCGGGTTCCACCACACACCAGGAATCAATAACTAGAAATTGTCTTATGATACGACAAAATTTTGTATGTAGTAACAAACCTCATTTGTTTACTTCCTTTTATATCTTTTTCGTGTACTCCTGTTTGTCCTCTTTTTCCTACTTTCTGTTTCTATATTTTTTACTGTGTGGCAACTTCAACGATTGCGTTTTTGTTCGAGATCCTACGTATGTTTGTCGATCAGTAGAGGTTATCTGCAAGCTGGGAGAAAGCCATAATTACTAGGATAGCACTTTTTTCACTTCCTGATAAAGCTTTCGGTTTTACTGATACTGTGCTCAGGAAACAACATCCTGTAGGACGGAGTTGTGAACAAAAAGTATTTGACGAAGGTAACAAATGCAAGTATCATCGTAAACAAGCTAACATAAGCCTGTCAATAAGGTGTTTGCAGTAGCACCACTTAACCAAGTGACTTGATATTGTTAGGTCTTTTGATTGATGCAGTCATTAGTTGTGGGCAGGTACTAACACTTTTTCAACAATATGTCCAATTTAAAATACACACGGTTGATAAAAAATGACTTAGTTGAGCATGTATTGTGAATGTGAAGAAACTTATCACTGAAAGGTAGCTTTGAATACCGATTAGAATGAGTTTCAATTTACATGACGTACGAGTTTTGTGCTACTTACAAAGTCGACTAACCCAATCACTACTGAGAAACTACTGTGACATTATTTAGAATGGTTGTTTAGCCGCTACACATTCAAAACTGCTACTTTTATTTGCTTTATAGGTCACAAGTGATACACATCACATAATGCCTTGGACATGGACAATTAAAACTGCTCGCCGTCTCAGGCAGGTTATGCGAGAGAAAATCAACAGTATATCAAAGACTGATCGAATAAAATGTATGCCATCAGAAGATGCAGGTGGTTCCAATAACCCTTCAAACAGAACACTGCAGTGGCTTCCCCTGCTCACATTGTTTCCATTTCCACACATTAGAAGTTAAGAATTTCTGATGTGAACAACATTTGGGTAGGAATTGTTTTTGTATTATGTCTAGCTCTTTTCCATGTACAGAAACCTACTTCCACTCTTCTAAAAACATTTCTTGGCGTACACATTTGTATAGATCCTAATATTCTTCCTGTTATTTTCAATGTTGCACTGGTGTTCAACATTTTGCATATCATATACTTTCTTTGATTTTATTTACATGAAAAAAGATTACACACATCAACACCACTCATGCCATGTGATTTAATTTCTTTTTATACAACAGATGGGTAATCCAAAAGAGTGAATTATATTCCACTTGTTTAGAGACTAAAATAGTATTTGTTTATTTATTTATTTGTTTATACTTTATTAACTACTCATATTATACGTCTTGATGAAAAAGTCACTTTTTGATGGTCTAAATGCACCGGACATCGACGTAATCGAATCGAAGTTCACTTGCTCGCGTATCTTGATTGACTTTATATTCTCCTCATGATTGTTAACCAATATAAGCTGGACATTGTCGTTAGACGTAATTTCCGTCCATCCGTATTGTTTAATTAATTGTTTAAAATCCTTTTCTGAGGATATATCCAAAAAGCTCATCAACATTGTCTTAGGGATGCGTTGGTATGTTTTTGAAACGATATGCATAATAACTGAAATGAGGAAAGGTTTTTTAACACAAACAGTATGAAAATCTGAACTAGTATGATTAAGCTGTCATAGTAATTATTATTATTATTATATTATTTGTCCCTTGGGTTCCTAGTGGAACATAGAGCTTCAGTAGCACGTCTCCAGTGCACTCCCTTCTCTGCAAAATTTTGAACCTGGGCCCACGACAACCAGAAGCTATCATTTCTTCCTCACACGATCTCCTCCATGTCACCCTCGGACACCCAACTCGTCGTTCCCCATCTGGTTCCACTCGAGGGTCTGGCGCGTGATGTCCCTATTCGGCCTTCTCATAGTAATTACCTGGAGGTAATTGATAAAAAGCCATAAACCTAGGTTTCATGCTTGTTGTCGCTAGATATTCAGGTGTGTCTCCAAACTCAAAGCAACCAATATCTTTCTAGACATTAAAACTCTTGTCACCGGCATTAGAACTTCGAAAAAAATCGAAATCTACTCAGCTACTTTGTGCACATTCAGGTAGACAATGAGCCACACCTGGAGTGTGACGATATTACATGATTGCCGAAGCCAGGAACCTACCGAGGCCAACACCATCGATAGAATTCGATCAGGGTAGAGAACAACAAAACACTATGCTGGTTAACGCCCAGTCACTAATCACTGTTGATTTCCACATCGAAAAGTAATTATAACTCGATAATCTTAGCAGTCAAAAGTTGCAAACATATCAACGTAAAACCTAGTGCAGAAGTGCACCGACCCAAGTTACAATGCTCCACACAAGCATGCAAGCAAACAGTGATAATAAGGTACACAAATGTATACGAGATAGAACAAACAGGTGAAGACTAACAAGATGTTCAGAACTCTGATGATGCCAACACCATTGTAACCGATTTTCAGTCATGTCGTCAACAGTCACTGATTTCTATCGTCACGATGAACAGCTATCAAAAAGTAGTTGTAGTGTAAATTTCTATGCCGTGATGGGATAAGTAAGTACAATAGAGAGTGAAGTGGTTGAGCGCGTTGGACACTTCACTTACCTGGAAATTGGAATCAGCCTTGGTGGGTTAGCGGCCGGCGAAACCTTTGCACGGATACAAAGAGCTCGGTTGGCTTTTACCAACTTACGCCATCCGTGGCGCCCCCACAATATCCGACTGTCTGTTGAGTGCACTATGCTGCAGTTCACTCTGTTCCGCTGTATGGTTGTGAAACATGGCCAATTTAAAGGTAGAAGGCTTCAGGTGTATGACCATCGTTGCCTTCGTAGCATAGACCGCGTTTCGTCGGTCACCACGTGAGTAACGCAGACATCAGGTGTAGGGTTTTAGGGAGAGGTAAGTCAGTTGATGCGATTGAGAACCTTCATCGGCTAGGACATTTTACGTATGCCCACACAGTCTGCCTCGTTGCACAATGTTGGCTGAAGTAAATTCAGGCTGGGAAAAGGTTTGGAGCACTCAGACAAACAGCATCAATGCATGAAGTACTTGACTGTTGGTCTGAGTCATGTAGGGCAATGTAGACTAATCGGTTGGAGTCCATAGGACAAAAGAAATCAGTGGTTGGAGACTAGGTGGTGAGGCTCAGAATCGGTGTCAGTGGCGCATATGCACATTATCCTCATCTTAATCGATATACTTAGTCCCATTCTTCCTTGCTCTTTTTTACAACTTTCTACTTCGATTTTTTGCTTTTTCACCTTCCATTTTATTGCCCTGTTACTGTGCTGATATGAGGTGTGGCAACTTGAACCGTTAAGTAGTAATCCCTGGTCCTACGTTGATCTTGATGATGATGGGATCCAGCGACGAAGTCGTACTGCCGTCTGGACGGATGTGACAGCAATAAGATGTTCCCCCTAGATGACCAGTAGTGCTAGGCTGATACAGCCTTCCCTAAGAGAAGAAAGTTAGAAAGGATCGGTCCTAGAATTGGCACCGTCCGTCCCTCTTACCCCACGGCGTATCGATGTTGGCGGAACGAGTTTATAGCACGATTCACAAAAAAAACTCGAATACTAAACTTCGAAAGAGACCGCGTGTGACTGACCTCTAGCAGATTTCCTTTAGGCTCTGCAGTCACACAGCACTGTTACTAACCCGATTTATTTTTCAGCTATTCTCAAAAAAGAAATAACTTTTTATGCCGTGAGCAGCGGAGAGGTGTCAACTATCCTCACAACTGTGTCAGCGATCAAATTCCTTCAGTTCACTGTCCACCTCCCGCATCCTTATCTTTTAACCTTCCTTCATGTTTTTCGGTCCAAATCCCTACATCTTTAATTTCATTCAGCTGCTGATAACGATCTCAGTTAATGGGACAACATTCTTAGTCTGCTGAAACCGCACTCCAAATTACGCATTGGGGCTTTCAGTGTCCGTGTTGTACAAAAAGCGTTGAAGCACATGTATGACTCTGAGAAAGCGGTTAGAAAGGTCCAGTGAATCTGCAGTTTTTTCGGAATTAATGGAATCAGGTAAACCCGTTTTTACAGGCTCCGCTCCGAGCATAATGAGGAGCGGAAGCAACTTAAATGTAGATTTACTAGGAGCTAACGCAATGATCACGAACACTGGTGGGTAGTGAAGACTACAGAGACGGGAAGGCATTAGCTAAGAACAACAACAGAGTTATCTAGACTTGTCAAGAAAACTGGATCGAAGAATTCAATGATTTGTAAGATCATGGCAGAGATTTGAGATAACCTAGCACGAAAGATGACTGAAACGATGGTCGAACACCTAGATCGAACAGTTTAACTTGCTTCGGGCTACTAATCCGTTGTGTCATCCAGTCGGATCGTGAATGGGACATATAGATACGACCCCTAACACTTACAGAAGTCAAGAGGACTGTAATCTGGAAAATAGGGACGCTTAACACATACTGTATTTTGCCACCTAAAGGCCAGCATTCGACTCCATCGATCAGAAGGTCGTATGGCAATGTCTCCCACTGAAAAGGGTGCCGAGTTAGTACCTCACTCTGTACTCAAACACCCGCGGGCGTGGCAGGGCCTATGGTGGGTTATCAGGTGAATTGTGTACGTCGAGTGGTGTCCATCGAAACAGTTCACTCTTTACATCCTTATTCAACTTTATCAGACGTACTTATGAAGGTTTCCCTCTCGTTGTCTGAATTCACAGCAATTGATCTTATAACAGAATTCTTCACAGATTTAGAGTACGCAGATGATATAGTCCTAGTAGGCGAATACCCTGACAAGATGCAGTCTACTGGGTACCTAAAGCGGCAATTTGAGAATGTTTAGGATCCATTCGTCACCACCCACACGCAAATCTCGCTTCGGAACTGGTCTTCAGTGGTGCCCTGTCAGACGGTAAGCAGTTAAGTGTCGAACGCGCTGAGCCTTCTATGTACCCAGAAAGTCAGATCGGTCCTGGTGGGTCAGTAACCGACGAAATCTCTGCACGCATACAAAAGGCTCGCCGCACTTTTAATAAATCACTGCATTTATGGCACTGCAGTAATATCCGATTACCCACTGAGGACCGAGCGTACTGTGCTATACTCTGCTGTTCTAATATACGACCGTGAAACATGGTCATTAAGAGCAAGCGAAATGAGGTTTCAGGTATTTGGCTGCAGTCACTTTCACAGTATAGGTTGTGCCGTGATTTGCTACATCAGCAACGTATAAATCAGGTGAATAGTTTTAGGGAGGAAAGGAAGATCAGTTAATGGGCCTTCACCGACTCAGATGGACATATATTACACACACCTAGTCACTGTTTGAATCGTCACACAATGTTAGCTGAAGTATTTTCAGGCTTGAAACGGTTAGAGGCGGCCAGACTAAACAACAGAACCAGTCCATGAATTATTTGACTGTAGGTCTAAGCTGAGTAGGGAAATGTAATGTCCGGTCGGAGTCCGGGTGATAATAGAAGTCGGTTGTTGAGAACTATAGGTTTTATGGCGCGGAACCTGTCTCAGAAATGCAAATGTATCCACACATCATCTTTATCTTAGTCGTTCATACTCAATTCAGAATTTTCGCATCCTTCTTTCCGCTCTTATACTACTCTATACTATCATTGACTGCTTTATCTTTTACCTCGGTGCTTTCTTACTTGATGCCACATCAATCAATCGAAATTAGACCAGGGATTAATGCATAACGGTGCAAACTGCACACCTCATATCAGCACATGTTACAAAGCAGTAAGACGATGCGGTGATACGAAGTGTGGTAATTCGGACCATTATGCAGCAATGCCTGGTCCAATGTTAATTTTGCCTGTCTGTCTTGGTCACGTTTAGTTCTTTTCCAACTTAACTCTACTTCAGCTGAGTGTCAGAATAGATGGTATAAGTTACACATCCTAGCCACCTAAGTTGATAGTTTGTAAACTTATTAGATGACTTGCCTCTTCTACCCACGAACCAACGTGTAACTTTTATATTCCTCATGATGTGGTTAGAGGAGACCCAGCGATTTTTATTAAGATAACAACAGTTTTTTTGACTTCTCTGAATATACACGGTCACGTTTTACAGTCATAGTAAAGTAGAGGAACTGCTATATGGTGCACTGAAACCCTATAACACAACTAGATACGTTGCGATCGCTATTGTGGTGTAGGTTCACGAAAAATAAATCACATGTTATTTATTCGTGCTGAGGCTTCGATGTCCATGGAAAATATGATAGAAGATAGAAAACGTCAATAGAACACTATCTGAACAGACACCAGTAACTATTATATTATGCAATATATATAATATACAATGTATAGTTTTAGGGAGTAGAGGTAAATCGGTTGCCGAGGTTATGAACCTCCGTCGACTGAGATGGTTGGGACACGTGTTACGTATGCCTAGTCGGCCCCTGCCTCATCACACAATGTTGGCCGAAGTAGGTTCAGGCTGGAAAAAGGCCCGAGGTGGTCACACTAAAACATAGCATCAATGTTTGAAGTCTTTGACTGTTGGTTTGAGCCATGTGGGGCGATGCGGACTGGGCGGTTGGGGTTCATGGGACAAGAGAAACCAGTGGTTGGAGACTAGGTGATATGGCTCAGAACCGATGTCAGTGGCGCTGACGTATACGTACATTATCCTCATCTTAACGACGCTATATCTAATCTCACCATTTCTCATTCTTCATTTCTATCTTTTCGTACTTTATATTTCTTTTGACTGAAGTTTCTTATTTTCATCTTGCAGTTCACTGCTTTTTACTTGGTGTAGTGATATGAGATGTGGCAACTCGGACCGTTATGCAGTAATGCCTGGTCTTATGTTGATATTGACGACGATGATACTACACAAGGACTCCTTTTCAAAATTACACCAGAGTTGCCAAGAATGCTTATTACCAGTATCTATCACTAATTAGATAAACATTTGGATTATTTGTAATGTAGGTTCGTACAACAAGGTATCTTTAACTAATTGTAGTGATTATCAAATCATGAAGTTCGGATATTAATTCTAGCCAAAGTGCACTAAAGCACACCAATTATGATAGTACTTCATTAATATAGGAGTAAAACTGGGGCACTGTAGTAGATTGTAATTCCGTTTTAATCAGTTGATTAGAAATGTCACACAATGAAACAGTATCATTTACATATGTCGGAAACGTTACCCAGTAAATGATTCTGTTTTACTGTGACATTTCTAATAAACTAACTAAAACGAATGACAGTATTCTGCTTACACACTATCGCTACAGGTAGTTACAGAACTTAGTGTTTATTATAAGTTTATCTGAAAACAGAATCGCAGTTGTGTATAGCTGAAGCCTTTTGAATGTCCCAGCAGCCTCGTATGGTTTTCTAATGCCTTGCTGACAACAGTCCTTGGTTATTATACCTGATTTATGATTCACACTTGGAGTCCTGTATCTATCCTGTTTCTTTTTTAAATGTCGAAGCACCAAGTTTAAAGAGTAGACACTTGACTACACACAGTTGCTTCCAACCAAAAAGGTAAAAAATGGAGATTTTACATTAGCATTCAGCATTTTGAAAAAGGACTTGGACGTCCGAACTTCTGTCTCTCTATAAGTGACCATTTCCGAGACTGAAAGGTTACATAGCTGTAGTGCAACTAATATCAAAAGAAATTCAAACTTTTGCACGGACTGATTAACGAGTGGCACTGATTAACACACCAAATAGAATCAATTACTTTGGTTAACATGTTTTGAGAAAGACTAAATGTTTGCAGAAGCATGTGGAGATTTTCAAAATATTGTTAGTCTAGTGTCCGAATCTGCGAAGACTTTAAACATTAGACGATCTAAATTGTGGCGTGACTGGTTTCTACTATGGTACTTATTTAGAACCGTGGATCATCAGCACATTCCAGTCGTTCCGAAAAGCTTTTCAAGAATACATATACAACAGTTTTAAAAATCCCAATAACATTAGTTTCGCATCGAATAAAACACTCAACAGTGAATGTTAATGCAGTTAGATGCATACCAACAAATATACCTTTTGTATAAGGAAACAAGTTACGATAAGGAATCGCATGTTCTCGCCTAAATCTGGAATTTTTCAGATAATCCAGTCAGGTGTAGGTTGACAGGCACGTTAGAGTAGAGCCTGGTACAGAAGTACACCAATCCAAGTTGCAATGCTCCACATAAGCATGAGAGCAAACAGTGATATTAGGGTACACAAATACGAACGAGACAGAATAAGTAGATAAAAACTAGCAGCAAGACATTCAACTTTTATCATACCGGTGTATACATCTACATCATTGTGACTGATTTTCAGCGACGTGGCCAATAGTCTTCAGTCACTGATTTCTATAGTCACGATGACCGCTGCTAGGCAATCTACACTTTTCCACACAGTTCAGAATGATGGTCAAAGACTTTATGGACTTGTGCCGTATCCTGGTCTGACCATCCTTCAACCTAATCCTACTCAGACTAACATTGCATGTCGAGGTATGCGGTAGCTCGGTAAGTACTAAGCCATCAAGCTACCTCAGTCCGTATAGGTTCACAACTCCATCAGTTGATATATCTTTCTTGCCTAATACCCTTAACTTATCTCGAAATATCTAACATGGTGATTTTACCACAATTCAGCAATGCTATGCAGATACCTATGATCGAAAACTTGCAATCTTTTTATACCTTCTATTTACAACGGCCGTGTTTCACAGCCGTAAGGTAGGACAGGACGAACTGCAGTACAGTATACCCGTCTTTTGAAATAGTCGGATATCTCATCGGTAATTACCGAAGAGATCTGAGTCAGAGGTCAGATTTCTTTAGCAACCAGCCTAATCGAAGTGATACAACTCCCCAAGTAATTGAAGTGGTCAACGCATTCTACCTATTTATTCACCGTCCTTAGACTGGAAGTAGCTGTAGACTAGTCCTGAAGTATCATCTTACATTTCACATGTAAAAAGGCATGCCGGACATACTTGGATTTATGCTCAAGGCTTTCAGAAAACTGGATTTGGTCACCATCTTCGCTTAACAAGATAATGCTTACGTACTCCAAGTCAGCCAAGTGACCTCCAGGGAGTGGATCAATCCTTGTGAAGTTAGAGGTAACTGAGACCACATCCAATAGATGCCCCCTTAAGTCAAGATATATGGCAAGTGTCGGTCACCATTAAGTAGGCCTGTGATGTATATAGATCTGGTTGACTCACTCTCTTCCACATCTTCAGCTTAGGTATCGGGTAACTGTGGTGCCTACATCCCAGGCCTGATTTCAGTCAAACTGATCAACCTATTAGTTTTACAAAAAGATTTCTCTCCTAATTTTATAGACTGAGATAACAAGGGGCCTTGACCTATCTAATGGCACTACCTCTGACATACACCGCCTAGTACCTCCGCTACTCTACTGAGTAACTTTTGATTACTATCCTTCAAAAGTAATGGCAAACCATCAGGTTCTGCTGCTTTGCATTGTTTCAACTTTGACAGAACTTTCTTAACCTTGAGGGTAGTTGGAAGACCGACCCTACGTCTCATTTACGTTTGATGCTAGGTAACTTAAACGCTGCCGTAGGTCAGGTGAACGGTTTCCATAACCAGTCTTCTCCATGCCACTATCCTTATTAAGCTCACTTAACTGTCAAGTAGCACTTAATGATAATGTTCTTTGTATCTTTTCTCGCCGTCACTGATAACAATTCTGCTGTTTACTTTAAAGGATGCTGTCACTCTCCATAGTGGCCACAGCTAGCCGAAATGAGGTTTTCGGCTTTCGGCGGTGCGGGAATCTAAGTTTCCACTCACCTTGAGATATAGGTTAAGCGTTTTCACAGCAAGCTGAACGTAACTCCAGGCTATCTACTGTTTGAAAGCATGTTACCATCTTCCAGTTGAACACATTGAAGCCTTCTTGCTGCTCTCTGAGCTTATTAAGGTACAAATCGATGATAACAGTTCATGTACGTGTAGTTCGGTTTTGAAACTAGTGTTTATAGGGGAAATAGGAGAAATGCAACTATTTTTCCCTTTGAAGTGGCCTTTCTTAATCGACCTACGTGTCTACTCTCCTCCTCGAGGGCAGTATTTTCGTCTTCTACTCAGTCTCTTTTGATACATCTTAACCATGGTGTGCTTTTCCCCTTCAATTTCCATTTCTTCCCATTATTACCAGACCGGGAAATAAAAATGCACTAATGATTGAATAAATAAGCACGCCGAGAGTAAAACTGGACTTACATTTGTAAATAGATTCCCGGAACCCAGAAAGAGAAGCAGTCATTTTAGGATTTTCTTTTAGCTTTATCTGCACAAGATATTTAATAAAATCTAGCTAACCCAAAACTCAGTAAAACGACAAGTTTCCAGCAAATAACCGAGTTCTACAACATGTGAAAGTGGTTCTTTGCTTAACTAGGGGACAATTATATATTTGAAGTACTTACATGTTCCAAGTTAAGTAAGTACTTGCACAGAGTAAAATCTGATTGACTATGGTTACACATGGCTTTTAGTAGCACCAACTTTGCATATTCTGCGTTGAACCGATCGGGGTAGAACTGATACCTATGTGAGAGTAGTAAGTCATTAAAGGCGAAACTACAATCTAAGCAGAGCAAGATTTGCTTCTAGGTCGTACTCATTGTTATGGATCTGCCATAATATATGTTCTTCAAGAGCATTTCGGTGCTCTGGGCTATATCTAATGATTTTTGAGAATTTGTACATTTCAGTACCTTTCTATTCCTTGCAGAAGCTTCTTAATTTCTGCCTTACGGTCCATAACGTGTTTTCACTGAAAAGACCCGCCGGTACACGTTCCGCAGTTACTCAAAAAGAAGGATTTATTCAAGTTCACAGATGATGCGGATAAACTTCAAACACTATGCTCTTAAATAATATGATTGTTCTGTCGGTCCTGTGACCATTTTTATTAAAACTTTTGCATAGTTTGAAGTCACTTGCAATCCCACACTCCTAGAAAATGAATAGTTATGAAACTATGAATCTGGTCGTACAAGTAACACCCAGAGACCCTGGTACTGAGGACATTCAATGTGGTAACCCTAATTAGTAGTTCCTAAGGAGGAACATGAATCCCTCAAGCATAATGACCTATAGGTTCTGACAAGTGCCCGAAATCAGTTGACTCAAAGTGGTGTTTCTGTCTTCTCAAATGCCAGCATCTGGATAGGAGGCGTTCTGGGCAGGCAAACACCATTTGTCACCTGAAGTTCATATACACCTTGATAAAGTGTGCAACAAAAAGCTAAAGGAAAAACTAACATGACGGGATTAATTGTTCATTTCGGTAGACTGCCTGTGCGCGAAAATTAGAGAAGAGGTGGGGAACATTTCACCGACAAGCCAAACCTATGCAGGTCCTCAGATCTCATAATTGGGGATTCAGTAGAAAATTTAGACGATTGTGAAGTCTCGGCAAGTGCACTCAAAGTGGAAAGCGCGAACTACATCTGTTCAAATGCACAGTTTGATAAACCTGAGGAGTTACGGGAACTAAATAACAACAATAAAGCTTATTTTAATATCATTGCTGAGGCGCCTGTTGCTCTCTTAAACCAAAGCATACATAATTTTTGATTCTAGATTTTAATCTTTATAAAGTCAGTTTTTCAAATCACTCGTTCAAAGTGAGTAATGGCTTCACCGAAGCCTTGTTGAAGAACCAGGATTGACAGAAAGTGTGGGGCAAGTAACGCGACAACGGGTACCCAAACACCATCTTGTGTAGACCATGTCTTCACACATCACGAGATTCGTAAATGGACAACGTTACGATTCTCCCTGCTTTAAGCAAGACTGATGTAGTTTTATCCGCTTCCGGTCCGTTTGTAAAACTGAACTAACTTGACACCCAAACATCAGACAGCTGGGCACTCTGGCTATTCGCTAGACTCTGGAACAGGCATGTAAGGAACCTGATCATATATGGTGGGATGTGGACGTACACTGTGGTCCTTGCCTGGTAGAATCACACAGTCCTCTTTACTTTTAACTTTAAGGTGCTCAAAGTCACTTAGGGTTATAGGCAACCATAGTCGTAAACCACTCAAATTACGAAGACACCATTGGGCCATTCACCAGAAACCTTTTGGCAAGTACTTACACAGGTCAGTTAAACAAGCGAGAAACATAGGCATGAAAGCATTTTGAGCCAAGAGGCATTGGCATCGAGTCGGACTCACAAAAATGTTTGCCTCTAGAATCAAATCAAGTGCTAGTGAAATTCGTAATCCTTCGTGAGGCCACTCACGTTAATCAGCGGATTCTTCAAAACGGTTCGGGATGATTCAAGTGCCAAGTGGACGTTCTCCTTGTTTGGGGCGGAGCTCACCAGCTGTGCATCTGGATTAACTTAGCTCACACAGCCGGCTGGTTCAAGTTTTCCGGAGTCCAGCTAGCCACTTAAGCTAACTGTCCATACCCAGAACCTAATGGGGTGCTGGCAACACGAAGGACGTGTAACGAGGGACCTTTCCATGGTTTCTTGCTGGACAAAAATGTACGGAACTCACAGAATTATCTACTTGACGTCATGAGGGGTGTCAAGAGTGTGAGCACGAGGGTTAACGAAATACACTGGTGAATAATTTGGGTAGCTCTGAACGAGCGAAGTGACAGTAAGGTGTTCAGACCAGCCAGGCCCGGTTCCCAAGAGCTGCTGACCTGTGGCAATGGTATAGAGCTACTCATGCCAATCAGTAGTACATTGGGTGCTGCTCTGCATTTTATTGTAGACCGACAAGTCTGTTTCGTTACGCTTAATCCTCCCTAAAAGCCGAAGCAAGAACCCTGAACCTGTAAGGTCCATTGGGCTGAATTCGGGAGGCACTGAATCAACAGGTCCCTTAAGAAACCGTATTTGTAAGCCGTTCCGTAAATGACCTCCCAGTCATGAACAAACGAGTACCCCGCTAAATAAGTAGGACTCTAGGTCTGCGACTCACGCCTCAACCTAGTTTAACGCAATTTGCTGCCTCGCACAGGGAATGCGTTTCTGAAACCGGGTGATATCCATATGGTCATTCTTTGGAAGGGACCCTGCCCCTCTAGGCACGTCTGAGTTTGTCATCCGAAGGCTGGCTAGATCAAGAATTTGAAAGCAAAGTTTCATACCATCAATAATCTGAGGAGGTCAACGAAATAACACAACGAACTGTGGACAGTTGACTGTCCTATCCTTACCTACTGGAATCTTATAGTTGTTGATTTGTGATGGATTAAGGGGTCACTCCACCAAGTCAGCTTCATTACTCCTCAACAGTACGCGTTTAGGAAAGTGATGCTCATGCATTCTTAATTCGATTTTTGTGGTGGATACTCGAAGCAGTACGTTTGGTCATCGAGGAGGAAACGGCGTCATTTATCTGGCATTTCAAACAGCTCTTGACTGTGCGAATCATGACTGCCTTAGTGATAGACTAAGTTTGTTCTATTGGTGGAGAAGCAGCCTACTGGACACAAGATCACATCATTCAGTATCTAATGCAAGGAACCTGCTCTAAAAATGAAGTTGAAGGCCTTCAAAGAAGTTGGTGATAGGCCGCAGTTAAAGTTCAACACCCATGACAGAAGCTCAACTGAAGGACGACACAAGAGACACCTTCACGTCGTCAGTCATCAGGACAAAATGGAAGACATTAAGCAGCATTCCCGAGGGGACCTGCGTGGAATAAAGCTGGAACACCTTGAAAGTGACGTGGTAGGAAACCTGCACAACGGCGCTAGTAATGATGAAGAAACAGGACAACGAATGGACCTCGATGGTCACGTAGAAGCCGATAGAAGAGGGAGAAGAAGTTGGCGAAGCGGAGGATAAACCAGTGCAAGAATGAACAACGAAGAGAGTAACTGAGTACAACCTATAAAACTTACACCGGACACAGAAGTGAAGAACAGTGCACGGAAAGACAATAGACACTTCTACGAAACACTAGCAGGTGAGGCAGAATAGGCTGCAGGTTGGGGGCCAGAGATCTAGCTACATTGTACCAAATAACCAGGTTACTATCTGGCAGGAAAGAGATCAACACAGATGAAGCCAACGGAAGATAGTGAAGGAAACCTAGTTACCAAAGAGGAGAAACAAAGGGAAGGATGGGCTGACCACTTCAAAAAGCTCTTGAATCGACTACCACCTGCAACTCGTTTAGAAATGCCACCAGCAACCGCAGAAATACCAGTGAACACAAGCCCTCTGACAAAAGCGGAAGTAAAGCCCTGAACACCATGAAGTTGCTGAAATCCGAGAGAGCAGCGCGACCGGATGGAATTCATCCAAAAGCACTGAAAACAGACTCAGAGACAACAGCGGATACGCTCATACCAGTATTACAGAAAGTTTGAAAGGAAGGAGGAAAACGTGCCTACCGACTGATTAGAAGAAATGCTACCTGGTGAGACTCCCAAAGAAAAGGTATCCAAGTGTTTGCAAGAACTGTCGCGGAATCATGCTCCTGTCAACCCCAGGCAAAATATTTTGCCGCATCATCCTGGAGAGACTAAAGGATGCTCTGGGTTCAAAATTACGACCGGAACAGGCTGGCGGTCTTCAGGAAGTACAAATCATATGCGGACCAAACTTCAACGCTACACTTCGCATCATCATAGAACAGAGGACAGAATGGCCGTCAACTCTTTATCTCAACTTCATTGACTTTGAGAAGGCCTTTGACAGTGTCGCTTGAGAAGTAATTTGGCAGGCAGCTGCTTCAACACTACGGTTTTAGTGCCATACACCTTGATCAACCTCATTCAACAGCTGTGTGCTATGCTATTTGATACTACGTCCTAAGTGATTCAGAATGGAAAGCTCAGTGATGCCTTTGAAGTGAAGACAGGAGTAAGACAAGGCTGTTTTACTGCTACGAATGATGTTCCTGATTGTGATGGACTGGGTCATGCAGCAAACCGTGAGGAACAAGAAGATGTTCTGTGAAAAGACCCTAGAAAATTTGGATTTCGGCGGTGATGATTTATGTCTAGTGTTGCACAAACCCGAAGATCTACAGACAAAAACCAACAAGTTGACAGAAGAGGCGAGGCAGCGAAGACGCGACTTTCTTGAGATGAACTTAGAGAACACAGATGTGATGAAGATACAACAACAACAACAACAGCAAGCACCCATCATCATGAAGGGGATAAACCTAAAGGAAGTTGCCTCTTTCACCTAACTACCTAGGCAGCATCGTTTCAACTACAGGTGGCACAGGCACACATGAGCATGTCAAAGCCAGTCAGGATCGGAAAGATAGCAAGACAGGGCTTACTGCATTGATATGAAATCTGTGTGGAGATCTACTGCACTGCATTCAGCATAAAGTGTGAACAACATCCGGATTTTGAACACTAATCTCAGTCAAGTCAGTCAGTGCTTCTATGTGATGGTTGAGAGACTTGATGAGTTGCGAAAAGCATTTCCAACAAACTACAGACATTCATCAACATCTGTCGCCTACACTAACTTGACACTGAAGATCAGATGGATGGCGAGAATAATAAGAATGAGCACGGAGGAACTCTGGCTGACTGACAACGAACCAACCAACAACCTATCACCCAACAAATATGCAGCAGAAGAAAGTGGAGATGAACTGGATTGGATTGGATTGAATTGGACATACACTGAGAAAACGATTCTGGGATACGACGCACCAGGCTAGGTGCTCAAGTGGAAGTCAGAGGAGAAAGGACGAGTTGGGCGTCCGATGTGAGGGTGACATGGAGGAGATGATGTGAGGAAGAAATGAAAGGTTGTGG